CACCACAGACATCTCCACCCTTGGATGCCCCTGACCTCGCCCTGCATGTTGAGCACCTGGCTTGACCTCAGCCCAAGGATGGAGGTGCTTGATGCTGTGGGATGGGCCCTGGCTAGGGAAACAGGCCCTTCCAGTCCCTATGGGGATTTTCTATGGGTCCCAGCTCTCAGGCTGCTACATTACCTGATGTTAATCACTTGATATTCTGTAGGGAGCAAAATATCTGAAGAAAGAAGAGTTGGTGTGGTTTTTCCAGGAGCACAGAGTAAACATGCTGACATTTACAAGATTCAAAGCTAAATAAATCATCATAGACTTAGGACAAAGTCCTATTTCTCCTAAGCCACAGCAGCAATTTGTTTCTGGGAACAAAAAGATAAAGTTGTGTCAATTCCTCATTTCTCTACACCTACATTTGAAGGGTGGGACTACAATATTTAATGTCTTTCTAAACTACAAAACTGTAGTTTTGTTTGTTTGTTTTGGGGGGAGGGTGGGGGGTTTGTTTGGGTTCTTTTTGTGCGTGTGTGTTTGGTTTGGTTTTTTTCAGTCCTTCAAATCTACTTTTCATTCCCCTGGCAGCTGAGGGAAACAGCTCCAGTCTGTTGTGTCGAGTCAGCAAGGGACATTAAGCTAATTCCCTTCCCTTGGGTAGGAAGATTGGAGCACACACCTGTGCCCTGGCAAATGCCTCAGGGCTTTTGAAGGGAGTGGTGAGTGAGCTGTACCCAGCAGTTCTACACCTCCTTTTCTTCCTAAGACTATGAAAGTCTCACACAGCCTGCAAGATGTGTACAAGATGCATCCTCCAAGACCTCTTTCTTGTGCATAGACCTTCCCTGCTGCACCAGCATAACCTGCATGTGTCACTGATGGGGAGCTGCTGTAGGGGAGAGGTGAGGGTGGATGTGTTCAATGAAGGCTAAGAGATAACATGCAGATAAAGCATGATCTATGCTTTATGCAGATCTAGATTACCTAGAAAACACTCTGGAGAGAAGTGTTTGGTCTGTTGATTGCACCTACTCAATATGATCTCTCTAGGCATGATACGTCAACTGCATAAGCTTTCAAGTATTAACATTTTTGCAGACCTTCTCACTAATGCATTAATCCTGCTGCAAAGCTCAACAGTCATTAAATATGAAAAATGTATTTTGAGGCAGAACAAGGTTGTTCATTTAAGATGGCCAAACCACAGCATTTAGATTCTAAGGTGACATGTGGTACCTGTATAGCATTCTTATGCTTGCCCCTCTTTGATTAATTTCTTAACACAGTACTAAATTTGGAAATGTTGTAGTTTGGGGTTTCTTTCCAAGATGGGCATGCAAAGCCACAATCTCTCATGCTCTAAAAATAGCCATATGTGTGATTTTGTATATAGGGAATTGTGCTAAGGCGTGCACCTGCCAGCTCTCAATTTAAAACTTTGATTCTTTTGAGCCCGCTGCCTCTGTGCAGAATGAGAAGTGTTTTTTTACTGAAATATCAGCTGGACAGTCTTTATCTTGTTTGGAAATCACTTGAGTGTATAATCTTTCCCATACAGACAATCATTTTGAACATATAACATTTGTTATAATTTTCCCTGCAAATGCAGCTTGATTTGCTGTAGTGACATATATTTATGGATATGTCATGTGTTTTGCTGCAGATTAGGTGGTTTGTGGCATTTACAGTGCAGCAAACATGTTAGAACCATCTCTGCAAGGGCTTGTGGAGCAATGGAGTGGGTGTAACTGAGAGTTTTGCCTTCCTTGCAGCTGCTGTATGGTTCCAATTTTTGGTATAAACACGTCTTAGTCCCCCTTTCTTAGATAAATGTGGTTGATCAATTTTTTTCCAGTGCTTGCAGGAACTTGTATTCTGAAGTAGCAGAAATAAAGAAGAATTTTCTGAAGAAATACATCAGCAAATTCTCCTGTACAAGAAGAGTAAACTGAGCTAACATATTCAGCTCTGCTGCAGATTGTCATATTGTGACAAATTCTGCTCATCTGATATCACGCACCTTTCCCTTCTTGAAACGGAAAGGGAGAGGACATAGTAAGTTATAGCAGATTTACACATTGCAGGTTATCTTGTCTTTCTGACAAAGCTCTTCCTCCCCTTTGTGGAGAGGTAAAAGAAATGCAGCTCTTCCTCTCTCCTGTGCCTGGTGCTGCTCTTTAGGAATGGCTGGACAAAGACCCCCATCCACAGTCCACACGCCCTTGCACCTGCCACAGCTACTGTGTGTTTAAGGACCTTTTTGCCTCTTGTGAATGATTCAGCCACATCAGCATGTTTCTGTCTGAGGGGGATGAATGCTGATTTCCCTGCAGTGGTGTGTGGTAAATGAAACCAAACCTCAGTGTTAAAGAACAGAATTGTACTAGACTTGTAAAGTGGAACAGCAAAAGAACCAGCTGAGCTTTGAGGATGAAATAGAAACAATATAGAGAAGTGTTATAAAAGTGGTTGCCTTCAGCTAACATTAGATGGAAGTTATTTTGTGTTTTGACACAAAATGAGTAGCATAAGTACCAATGCTAAATTCTGGAGCCTTTGGCTAGATGCCACTTTGTTTAGATTTACGTTTCATACCTCCAAAGGCTTTTCATGCAGGTAAGTGAGAAAAAAGAGCTTTTGTGAAATTGTGGAGTCACCATCCTTTTCTGTTTTCATTAAACCACTTTTTAGTATAGGGATTTATAGATATTCTATTGAGGAGTACCTATCCCTGGTCATCTCATATCACCAATTTATTGTGCAGGGCCCTGTCATCCTGACTCAGCACAAAGACTGAGTCAGTAGGAGCAGGTAAGCAGGAAAACCTGCACAAAGGACGCCTGCAGGGAGGGAAATCCTGGCAGGTCCTTTTGTCTTTGTTCCCTATAAAGCCTTCCAGCTCGGGATGGGGCTTCCTTTCCTCAGACCTGAGGTGGGGGAAGCAAAGTAGAGACAGAAGGAAGAGAGAACTGTGATCCTGTTCTTGGTCTTTAATCATAGCTCCAAGCTCTGAAGCATTATGTCCTCAAGGCAGGTAATAAAGGGATAATTTGGCTTCCAAATTACACTTCGAGGGTTACTGTTGTCTGTGACAACAGTATTTTTGGTTAATCTAATTGGAGAAAAGGAAAAAAGTATATTTTCCTGAAGAATTAGGGATCAAAAAAGACATCATACAGGAGGATTCTACAAGCTCCTCAGTCCATCAAACATCCTTTTAAGACTTATGGGGGCCTTCACAGAAATATAACTCAGAAATCCAGTTAGATCATCACTGCTGTGGGAATCCAGAGCATCTTCAGTTCATTCCAAGTCCTGGACGTAGTAGGCAAATTTTCTACTGTAAACGTTAGACAAGGGTTTTGATCACTTTTTAGTGGTAAATTTTTGCTTTTAGTTCCAAGGACCATGAAGTTTTATTAGGTCTATTTGAGTTTCTGTCTCTAATAATTTTAAAATCTATTTGTTGAATTCAAGTATGCTTCACAGCTAGATAATACATGGAGTCTTTCATTTGCAAACTGATGGATGATTGGCTTCATCAGCAACTAGTGCCTCTAATAGCAATAAGATCTTTACAACAGTATGACTTACGTGAGCAAAGGAACAATGTACTGAGACTGCAGCTTTTAGAAACCCCAAACAACACAGTGACAGATTAAATCACAAAAAGGTATGATTTAGAAAGAATGCACCATGACATAACCAGAATGTTTCAGGTTAAAGTGTTTAACCTGAAACGGGTAGCACAGACAGGTGCTCTGCCTGCAGAGAGACTGGATGTGTCATTTGAGCAGCAACTCATGAGAAAGACCTGGAAAAGGAAAATCTCCATTCAGACATTGAGGAAAACCCCCAGCAGTTGAGATAGTGAAGAATTGATACAGATAACCAAGGAAGGAGTGGAGTCTCATCTGTAAGAATACCACTAAATAGGCATCAGTGAGGAATATCTAGGAAAGGTCTCTGAGGGCTCTGCTAACCCTCTGGTCCTCTGTCACAGACCTTGTCAGACTTCTGAGTAAGACTTCCTTCAGAGTAAAGGCTGAGACACAGAGTCGTATGGAGAACAGGAATTTCTGTTTGTGAAAAAAGTCCCTATTTAGGGATCTTTACGCTTGGCAAATGTGACAGATGGAGTCACCCTAGGCTCAATCAACATTTATCTGAATGAGCTTAGCTGCAAAAGTGACCTGGAATCTTGTGCTTGGAAGAACACAAGAGGCCGTTTCAAGACACCATGAAGCAACCTCTTATTGCTTCCCATATACCCCCACTTTCTTCTATATGGGGAAGAGGGATTGTGACTCTGGTATTTATAAAAAAACTATGGGTTTGCCTTGTCTTTTCCCAAATAAAGCCAAACAAGTTCTGCAGCAAGTAAAAGATGATTGTACAAAGCGTTTTGTGGTCAGTGTTTTATGTAATGCACGGGTCTAATCCATTTGTGCCTATTTGACAGCTGACATATTTGGGAGGCCTCGGTATCAAATCCAAATCCTGATCAAGTCTGATAGACAAATTTCTTATGTCAGCAGAGGGCGCATCCTCGCTAGCCAAGTGAGGGTCCTCCACCTTCCTACCAGACTCCACATTCTTGCCCTCAGGGAGCTAGGTTTGGAAGGCAGAGTGAAGTGAAAGCACTGGTGCGTTGGAAGCCTATGTCTGAAATCATTTGGCACAAGCCAGGCAGCAGCAGCACCATGCCCTGTGTGTTTTGGTAGAGCTCATGTATTTGCAGAGCAGGCCCAGTTTCTTATGACTGAAGTGCTTGTTTAACTTCCCAGGACTCTGTCATCCAGGCTAGCTGTATTTGAGATGATGGAGTGTTTTGTCAGGCTGTTGTCTGTGCTGTCAGAGGCACACTATAAATACACGCGTACTTCTGTATTTCCCTATCTCTCACTCTGTAAGAGGAAATGGGCTTGCGATTAGCATTGAGAGGAACTTGTGAAATGACACAGCTGTACTGTAAAACCACCATCCCACAGACTTTGCTGCCAGAGGAACTTGACAGCCAGCACTGACAGAGCCCAGAGCAGGATTGCCCAAGCCATGGAGCGAGAGCCGATGCGCATAAGGGAGGGCTACTTGGTTAAGAAGGTAAGTGGGGTAGTTCGGACTGAGTGGAAGAGAAAACTAACTCTGAACAGGTTGGGAAGATGTAGGGAGACATACTGTGGAATCCTGGCAAAGAGGCAACAGGAAAGAGCCACAGCCTACTCAGCTGGGTTAAACATAAAGGAAGACTAGTGAGATTAAAGGCCTCGAGACAGTGTGTGGGGCCACAGCCACATCCAGTCTTTGGGAAGGCAGTTGCTGCTCCACAGCAACTTCTGCTTTGGAGTCTTTTGTAGTACAGTCCATAGGATAAAGTCTTTACTTTTATTTAAATCCACAGTGGCTTCCACTGGCAGGGCAACTACAAGGGGAAATAAATGGTGGTCAGAAAAATAACAACAATATTTAACTGCATAGTAGGATGTGGCATGTTTCCCTTGAAAGACAAACTGCAGTTATTTTAGCATCAGTCAGACACCCCCTGAAAGCTCATATCTTCCTTGGGTATCACATGAAGAGTTCTTCATTGAACATAATATGTGATTTTTTGATGCAGGGCAGCATGTTTAATACCTGGAAGCCAATGTGGGTTGTGCTCTTAGAAGATGGAATAGAATTCTACAAGCGGAAGGCTGATAACAGTCCCAAAGGGATGATCCCACTAAAAGGAAGCTCTATTCACAGCCCATGCCAAGATTTTGGCAAAAGAATGGTATGTACTTTTTTTATAAAAAGAATTGACAGTATATTTATACTTCTGGAAGCATTGAAAAGGCAAAAGGGTGGTGGCTGCAAATTCCTGGCACTCATCCTAGTGGCGATTCTCACTTGCCTTAGGAGGTCACAAGCAGGCTTGGAATTGTGCACTATTTGAATTCAGAACACTTCAAGAGGAATAATTCAGGAAGCATTTGGGGGGGTTGGTTGGTTGGTTTTTATTAAACTTCTGAGTCTGTCAGAGAGCAGAATTAAATTTTATTGGTGTGAAGACATTTTGCAGCTGAATATCAACAACTTCTGTATTAAATATAACTCTAAGTGTCACAGAATAAAGCTGTGGGAAAATATTTTGTGACCAGGAGAAGCATTTATTTTTTTATCAAGGCACAACTGGCTTGCTCAGACAGGAGGGAGATAAATGCTGTGACACACATATTTTGTTACAGGGTTCCTGAAAAATAGTTGGTAAAACAGAATTTCTCATATGAGCAAAGAATCATATCATTAATCATTTATTATTTTGTCAACTCAGTTTCATCAAATAGGCATGACATCCCCATGAATTCCTCTGACAAAGAGGTCCCCCAGAATCTGGAACATTATTCCACCACAGTATAAAGAAATTTACCACAGGGATACCTGACTAAAGATAGGAGTCTCCGTGAGAGTATTAGAAAAATAGGAAGTGTGAGACATGGCTGAGACAGTTTACTTTACTTTTTCATATAAGTAAAGTGGGGTTACTTAAACCTGTCCTTAGGTTTTGTAATAAGTGGAATCAGGATCCATTCTGTCAGATTTCGACCTGCTGGCTTTGCTTCTTCCTTCTTTTCTTTCTTCTGCTTTTTTTTTTTTTTTTTTGAACCCATATTTATAAGAAAAAACCCCACCCTGATTCTTACTAAGTCTTTTTAGACTTACATCTGTCAAGAGAAAGGGCCTGTTAACTTCCAAGCGGCCTTTGAGACAGTAAAGAAAAAGGATGGGGCTGAGAATAAACATTGCTGTTAATCCTGTGCTGATTATCTTATTGACAAGTCTCAGCACAACACTCCTTACTCTATGGTAAGGAGGGTACTATGCAAGAGTATCACAGACCTAGATTGTAATGGTAGAAATTAAGTTTTTCTCACAAAGGATTCTTCTCCAGTTTTGTGTTGGGTTTTGGCTTTTTCCTTTAACTTTCAGAAAGGCACTGCCATCAACATTGTTTCACAATAGCTGCTTGAAAATGTCAGTAACGTATTTACAATTAAGGAAAAATAATTCACCAGCATATGTGCATTCAACAAAGCAGGCACAGAGGCCTGAAGTATCTGATGTCTGCTGAAGGCAGAGTGGGAGAGATCCTCACCTGCCCAAAGGGTTCCTTTGGGATGCACCAGTCTCCAGAAGGTGCATTGTATCTTTATGGAAGGGTGACAGTCTCTGAAGATCATTCCTTTGTCTGCACTGGGTTTTCTGTTATGCTTCATTTTACATTGGGTGTTTACATAATGAGCTTTACATTATGTTTCATTTTAGTTCTCGGGTCTTTTCTGAGGGATAATAAAGACAAAGAGAGACCCAGGGGTCGAGGCACCCAAAATAGCTTTTCATAAATGAGGTTTGCTGCAGGGTTTGCTGAAGTCAGTGGAAACAATCCAAATTACTTCAGCAGGCATTGGAGCAGATCCTTCATATTGAGGTGGTGAGATTATTCTGCAAGTCCATAAACCAGTAGCCCTGGAGATGGATTTTCTCTTAAAATTTCAAATAGTCAAAAATTTAACATGTTCATTCATATGAGCAAAGCTATCACCAGGATTGTTCTTGCAAGTACTGCCCAATGTGATTAAACCTAAGTTCCTACATGTATTCCTTGAAAAGGTAGAATCTTTATTTTTACACCTTATATTTTACAGCTTTACTGTACTGCTGAATTCAATGTTTCTGCATTCTGTTCTGGCTTCTCACTAGTTACATGTCAAAGCATACAGTTATGCCTCTTATGGGAATTACTCTGGTTCTTAAGTTTATATGGCTAGAAATGAAAGTATATTTTTAGGACAGGAATTCTGTATGGTGAATAGTGGAATAATTCTCATTGTGTCAGTTTTAAGTACAGTCTCACCTGTGTGGGCCCAGTTTGGAGCAGGGACTATTGGGCCACAAACAAATGTCTATATTTCTCTGGTTAAATTTTTGAATCAGCTTGTGTATCTGCACCTGGACTTCGTTTGAAAGCTCAGAGCACATCACCAACATAATTTGTTTACTACATTAATTGCAAATGCAGGTGCTGAGGAGAAAAGAAGCAATCTTGGATTTGTTAAGCACAGATAAAGGCTGTTCAGAAGGGGCTGCAACTGCATATTTTGAGATTATATTTCAAAATGCATTAACCACTGTCTGCTGTCCTTGATTTGATGTTTGATCATTGTTTAATGTAACACAAATTCTGATACTCTTCAGCTTTTTCCATTTCATTTTCGTGTGGACAGCATTATCCTGTTTGGTTGCTCATAGTCAGATTCATCTCCCCCAATTTAAATACGTAAAATGTTGGTATTTACTTTAGTCTAATGGTCTAATTTTCTCAAAAGCAGAGAGAGGCTTGGTCACATCTCAGATTGGAGACTCAACCTCTTTACCAATTTCACAGGAATCATGGAAGTCTATCTAACTTACTGGCCTAACTTTGTAAATGCTAAAAAGAAATGACTTTGCCAGTCTTTGCCATGTGCTGAAAATGAAAACTTTTCTTAGCATTTCACTCTAGGTTGCCTCTCAGCTCTTTGAGAAGGCTATTTTTTTCCTTTGGTAATAAATCTCATCAATGCTTTGGTATTTCATTCTATTAATCTGGGGTGTTAGCTTGGCTGTTGAATATTGGGATTTGGATAGATCTTTCTGTTTCCTTTTGTCATACACTGTACATTGATTTTCAGTGTGTCTTTCCTGCATAACAGAAAAGGTGAGTATTGCTGGAAATATGAAGAGTATCAGATAAGAAAAGGCTACTTTTCTATCTGAGATGGACTTTGAGGACTTGTTGCTTTATAAGTTTGAAATGTATCTTCCATGAAATTCAGTTGGACTTCTGCACAATTTCAGGGTGTCAGAATTTTCCCTGTTGGCCATAGTTTGGAAAATGCTTGTGAGGGGCGCTCAGAAATGTATCGTTTACAAACGTGGGCAGACTCATTCAGTGTGTTGATTTCACTGATGTAAATTTGCTTCTCTTTGACAGTAGCCTTTGCTTTCCTTGCCCTAATCAAGTTGTGCTGTTGGCTTGTGGCTTAGCTTGGCATTTTTAGACACCTGCTGAGTCAGAACCTGTGATATTTATTATAACACAATTACAGAAAAAATTAGTGTCACTCATGGGAAGCTATATTTTAGAGGAAATGGAAACCTGAGTAATTAGATCCAGATTTTCCATCCAGAAGATGACTGGATGGAAATGAATTCAAACAGTGTGAACTTTGTTGGATGATTTTCAGGTTTGTTTTTTTGTTTTGGTTTGGGTTTTTTTAAGGTTATTGTTATTTTTTCTGTTTACAACTACCTCTAGATGATCTGTTCTCATTTTTTGGGAAATACAGTCTTTCCATTGTTGCTAGTGTGTTTAGATAGGTGATCCTAAGGTGTAGCCAAGGGTTGGATGTATTATCTCCCTACTAAGTCATTAAAGGTTTACTAGGCTGCAAATATACTCAGGTACTCTCTAGTGTAGGACCTTTTCACCCCTTGTGAGTCAGTAGCTGAATATGATGTGGGGTATTTTTCCTTCCTCAGACTGTTCACGTCTCTAAACATTAAAACAAATTTACATCCGTTGTAAGCCTTCAGGAGCTGGGTGCTTCTGATGCCTTAGGATTTTAATTTTTATATTTTTCAAATCCTTTAGTGTATAACTGTAAAACTCCATATAGAGTGTTAGCTACTGTCATCACATTCTGGTCAGACAGAATGATTCCTCTAGGCCTGAAGCTCAAGGACACTTCACTGTCCCAGGCCCTGAAAGCATAAACAAAAGTGAGTTGGGGAAGGGAAGCAAACTGGGGATACATGACTTCATTACCTGAAGCTGTAATTGGAGGATTAACCCTTGATATGTAAATGGACCAAACTTATATCTGCCTGACAAACTCGTGACTGTTGTCCATCTTGGGCGTAGCCCCTCGGAGGCTTCTGACTGCCCAAGGTGAACCTATTGAAGGCCATTAATAAATACCCACTTTTATTCTCTTAATCTTGTCTAGCCTCTGTTCCAAGTAGCCACTCCAAGGAATCACTTCAGCCTTTCAGCTGTGTTGAACTTCTCAGCAGAAATTAGAATCAGCAGCTGTATTGGTGTCACACACTATTGCTATTGAGCCAGAAACGACACAGATAAATGAGTGCCACACCCCATGCATTTAGAGAAGACTAAGTCACTTTATTAAGAAACCCATTCCTTTTATACTCTAGTTTGCTACGGGTGCACCTGATTGGTCCCTTAATTAAAACACCATCACCATAAGCTAATTAAGAAGCCACCCTTTTGGTAAACATATCTCCATAACACATTCCACAAGTTCACAACACCAGGTGCAGCAAGTTAAGACAAGAATTGTTTGTAATTCTTCTCTCTGAGCTTCTCACAACCTTTTCCAGAACAATGCCTGGGAAAGTTGTCTGTTTCTCTCTGTGACCAGAGAGCTGCCTCCACAGCACACCTTGGATGTGCTGGTAATGCCAGGATCAGTGATGGTGAAGTAACAGAAAAGATTCAGTTATGTGCAGTGCTTGTTCATGGTTTTCTTCAGAGTTTCTATCATTTTACTGTGTCTCTAAGGCACTTTCTGTAGTCTTTAGGCATAGGTAGGCTGTATGTTGTGGTAGTACTAGCTTAATTGTGCCCAACTGGCTACACCAAATCAACTTTAAAAAAACATCCTGTAATTTATTATTCCAGTTTGTCTTCAAGCTCACTGCGGCCAAGCAGCAGGACCACTTTTTTCAAGCTGCCTACCTGGAGGAGAGAGATGCCTGGGTGCGGGATATCAAGAAAGCAATTCATCACTTAGATGGAGGCCAAAGGTTTGCCAGAAAATCCACAAGGAAGTCCATCAGATTGCCTGAAACAATCAATCTGAGGTTTGTTCTCATGGCTTTGCTCTCCCATTTACTTCCTTCTGCAGTCAGTGTGTCAGACATGTAACCTTGGTCAGGAAGAACAAGGAGCCTGTGTGTCCATGGATTCTCTCACAGCCCTTTCTGCATGACTAAAAAGTTCAGTTTGTACAATGTGTCAGAAATGAGCTGGCAATCAGAACTGGGAAGATCGTTTTGAATATACTATAATTTACCAAAACATGCTTGTTTATCAAAGATTTTTTGCCAATAAAGAGATTTCTGGGTATAATGGAGTGCAAGAGGATGTGCCAGCCAAAGTATGACTCTTCCAGGAGAAGCATTTTATACAATAAATCATTTATTAAAAAAATATTTTAGACCTTTTGTTTGCTCTCCAAAGAAATGCTGATGTTAGCCTAGTTTTTGGATGATGAGGGGACTGTGGTGCCTTCCAAAGAATATGAAATTGGCAAGGGGAGAGGAAGAGATAAAGGGAAGCAATCTTTTAGTACTTTCCAAAATCAAGGATGACTTGTTTTCTGCCTCTGAGCTGTAAATACCAAGATAAAAATGAACTTGAAGTGTTCTTATAAGACAGTAAAACTGCACAGGGCCAAGATTGTCTGAGAGCATGCAGGCTTTGGGACAGGACAGGTTTTCTGCTCAGCCCAGGACCTTTGGGTGAACACAGAGCACTGCAGTGAACCCTCCTGCTGGGGCTGTGGGGCCCTGTGAAGGTGCCTCAGCAGTGGGTGTTCCTCTCTTCATGCTATAGTCATCACAGGCAGTTGCATTCTCAAAACAGGGGGATGTGGTGAGCCCTTTGCGCGCTCTGCCCTCTGCTCCCACAGCTCTGAGGTAATGTCGTGAGACCTCCAGGCCTTGCAACTTGAATTTTTCAGGAGATGCAGGAGATGAAACTAAGCCAAGTTACAGCTCTGCAGAGAGCTGAACGTGAAGCCCCCATGAATGACAATGACATTGTTGTACAAAATGGCAAAAGCTTTTTATTTGCTAACAGTTTCTGTGGTTCTTTTTATGCACAGCGCTTTGTACCTCTCAATGAAAGATCCTGAAAAGGGAATAAAGGAGTTGAAGCTGGAAAAAGATAAAAGAGTGTTTAATCACTGCTTTACAGGTAAGAAGCTCTTGTCCCTCTATTCTATACAATAAAGGGAGCACAGAGTTGAAAAACTAAAGAGGTGAAACAGCTCTGAGCTCTGTAGAGCACAGAGAAGTTTGATATTTTCTTGACTAACCCAGGAGATGCTCAAAGGGTATATCTTGGAAAAGTGTTCAGTTATGGCCATGGTAGACAAAGGAGAGGCATGCAATTTTAGCAGTGTCAGAAAGATTGAAGTAATCTTTTGAGCAGATTGTAGCGTGAAACACTTAAAGGCAGAAGAATTATTCCATTCTGGATTTTTCATCACCAAATGGTGTCCCGTTGTAATTCCTGTTTCTCTCAAAGTCAAATCTGTGTTTGTGCTCAAAAGCACACAGATGTAGCACTTGAGGACATTGCTTAGGGGTGGACATGGCAGTGTTGGGTTAATGGTTGGACTGATGATCTTGGAGGTATTTTCCAACCTTAGTGATTTCCAACAGCATTACGTTAGTAGCATAGCAGCCTGGATCCAGGCTTGGCTATCCTCTGTGCATCCCCAGTCTCTGTCTTTGAGGCTTCCCAGCTCAGCCCTGCATCCCCTCCCAGCTCTCTTCTCCATCAGGAATGGTGTTTGAGAGCTGTCCTGGCCCCTGCCATCAGCTGCAAATGCTGTACCTCACTGGATGGCCAGGAACCTCCCTAGATTAGCTCTCCAGATTGTTGCTAAGAACATTTTTCAGGAGATTGATGATTACATGGAGTAGACTTTTTTCCTGTGTACTTTTAGGCTTCTTCATGTCTCTATTGGTTTGTGGCTGATATTTTGTTCCTTTGTAACCAGGCACCTGTGTGATTGACTGGCTGGTGTCCAGCAACTCCGTCCGAAATCGCAAAGAAGGTCTCCTGCTTGCCTCTTCCCTCTTGAGTGAAGGCTATCTACAGCCTGCTGGGGACACGTCCAAGGCAGCTGCTGAGGGACTGTCAGACACCCCCTTCCTGGATCTCAGTGATGCCTACTATTACTTTGTGAGCAGTGTATTCTGGTCTTTTATTGTCTCCTTACTGATGGCTCTGCTTTTCTCATGCTTCTTGTTGGGCTTCTTAAATCCTGGACGAAAGATTGTACAGAAATGGAGAAATCTGTCTTAATTATCTTTGTCCTGTGATGCTCAGAATGAGCCTGCTCACTTTAATAGTTTTTAACTAGGACAGATTTTTTTTTTTTTTTCTGGCACCTTCTAAGTGTGAATTGAGTGCTGAGACTAAGTGTGGGAAATGAATTTGTAGAGAATTCTCAAAGCCTGATAGAAGGCTCCCATAGTATACATCTTTAAGCTGGGTTCTTTTTAACTTAGACTTTGTTCCTGGTAATTGTACTGGTGACCAGAATTTAACCATCTGTTTCCCTGTTGATTCAGTGAAAGAGAAGAGAGTAAATAATTTTCACAGGGCTTCTCACAGTGGCAGAAGCTACAAACCCATTTTTGTGCAGAGCCATCAAATCTGACTCAGTGTGAGTGTGCACACACAGAGCTTGCCCGTGAGCAAAGAAGTAAAAGTTTTTAATATCCCCCAGTAACCTGTCCTGAGTGTCATACCCAGCCTTCTCCATTTATTACTTCATATTCTGTGGCCTGATTTGAAGAACTTGAAATATCACAATCAAACAATGTTTGAAAGCTATTTGGCTTATGGACTTATGCTAACAAAAAAGTATGCCTTCTATAAAGTGAAAACAAGTAAATGGGTATTACAATTCTGTTTATATTTGCCACATGGAATCACTTGGCTTCAGCAAAATTACTCTCTCACTACTCATTTTTTTTCCTAAGTATGTTTGTGCTAGGGAGACTTTACCTGTTCAGCAGAGACACTCCTGGTAAAGGCAGCCTTGTGGCCTCCTGGGATGCTTCTTGTAGCAGCCCATGTGTACCCTGCTTGCTTTTGGATTATTTTTAGATTAATTCAATACCAGTGTGGTGTGAGGAGGCTGCAGAAAGTCAATGTCTTGACTTGGTATCATAGAAGTGTAGTCCCTATTCACATTAAAATGTGTGCATGGTGATTTGGAGAGCTTCTCAACTTCACTGGGAGGCTCTTCCAGTAAAAGGTTAGATTATTTAATAATAACCACAACAATAATATCTTCTTTGGGGTGGCAAAAAACAGCATGGAGGGAAGCCAAAAGATGCCAGATCAGTACATGTACATAAGCATGCAGCAAGTGTGTAACTTCTGTACCATTTCTCTTGTGGTCTTGCAGCCAGACAGCGGATTTTTCTGTGAGGGATATTCCAGTGATGATGATGTGGTCCTAAAAGAAGAATTCAGAGGCACAATTGTCAAACAAGGATGTTTGCTGAAACAGGTCAGTGTTGCCCATGTTCCATCCTGTCACTAGGATGATGTTACATGGGTGCAAAATTACTCTTTTACAATTAAAAGATTTAGGTAAGAGAGAAACTACCTTATGGCATCTCCACACTTGGCAGGTTTTGTCTCCATCTCTCCTGCCTTTGCACAAGGAACACTTGCTGCAGCATGGCAGCAGGACTCTGGACAAATATTGCAAGGTTAATTGCTCTTACCACAAAATAAAACAGTTGATAGCTTTAATTAGAGTCCTAACACAGAAGATGTGACAAGTCATTGGTACAATGCAAAACTGAACTCCGGTAGAAAAGCTGCCACTCCTGTGTCCCTCTGGACACACAACTGGATTCAGTTGCCAGTTTTCATGGACTTTTTCAGCATGCTTGAGCAAAGGAGTTGTTTCAACCACTAATATTTGATGTGTAAGACAGAAGATAACTGGATACCTTCATTTCCAGCAAAACTTTAAGCAATACAGTGAATGTCATGTTTCCAAGGCCGCTGCAAGCAGACATCAGTGAACTGAAGGCAAAATCAGGATTCTTCAGTGAATAAAATGGGTCAGGTGGAAGGGGCCTGCAACAATCCTCTGGTTCAACCACCTGACTACTTCAGGGCTGACCAAAAGTTAAAGCACATTGTTAAGGATTTTGTTGTCCAAAAGCTTCTTACACATCGACAGACATGGTGAATTGATCACCTCTCTAGGTAGCCTGTTGCAGTGTTTGACCACCCTCTCTCTAAATAAATGTTTCCTAATATTGAGTCTGAACCTGCACAGTTAAAATAGTCTTTGAGGGCCTAAGAACTTTTTGGTGGTGCTAAAAAGTATTTCTCTTGTTTAATCAGTTTACTCAGTGGAAGAAATTAGACCCACGCCTTGCTGCTCTTTTACTCTGTCACATTCTTACCAACCTAGTTAGTAAGAGCTTCCACGCACACAGGAGCTAATTGAGAAACTTGTATTTTGAAATGCCAGAGGAAATGATTCATGACAATCTTCCACCAGTGTTTGTCTGCACTTAGTTAGCCCTCAGTGAGTTGTGGGTCACTGCCTGGAAGGGTCACAGCTTCTGCTGAAAATGCTTCCACACCCATGCTTTTCCGTCATGAAAACGGGCCATGAGGCACCTATGTCCATATTTCTGCCTGAGCCTCTCAGCCGTGCGCCTTCCAGGGTGTTTAAGCCAGATAAGCATTTTTTTTGTTATCTTTGCAGGGACAGAAAGACTTTCAGCTCATCCTTGTCAATAATTCAAGGTACCTTCCTGCAAGGCACTTTGCAGCCATGTTTTCTAGCAAGCAGTTAAACCCAGTTCTTACAGACCTCATGTGAATGTCATAACTACCAGACTGTGTGATATGTTTAGGGGAATCTCCCATGTTGAAGTGTCTCCGTTTTGCACAAAAAAAAAAAAAAAAAAAAAAAAAAAGAGAGAGAGAAAGCAGTTTGATAGCCCAGTTCTTTGCAAAAGATTGGAATGTAGAAAAGGCAGATTCAAGTCCTACTTCAATGAGTATTTCCTGTCCAGAATATTCAGGTTTTTTCCCTTTTGCATTTGCCTGTCCTCTCATGTGTGGGTAAGATTTGCATGCAGGCAAAGCAGCTGCGTGACGTTACTGTTTTGAATTTTCCTAGGGACATCGGAGGAAGAACTGGAAAGTGAGAAAGTTCGTTTTAAGAGATGATCCTGCATATCTTCACTATTATGATCCTGCTGGAGTAAGAGAGATTTGTTTTATTTCCCTGTTTGTTTTGAATCCAATGCCTTGTAGAAGTACCTGAATGGAGTAATTTACATGCAAATGTGACAGGGAAGATCTGGCAGGACAATGGGACTGTTCTTCCACAGCCTAGCCATCCTCTGGAAAAGCAGAGTGAAGGATAGTTTCTGGGGCTGTCAAGTCAGGGTGGCAAGTGCCACCCAGACCTGGGAATAAGTAACACTGATCTGTATTTTCACCTCTTATTTGTGATTAATTAGAATTAATGTGTACTCTCACTTGATCAAAACAAATTAGGTCCTGAGAGCAAATGAACACAATGCAGTAATTTTGCAGTTTATATTTGAGGTATTTGTCATGCTAGGCTGAAACATGGCATTCTATTTCTTGTGTATTTCTAATGGGCGCATTCCCACACTAAATGCTCTGCAGACCCCGAATTCTAAATCACAAGAGATTCCCTATTTATTTGTAAGCCTTTCTCTTACCACACCCTCAACCCTCCATGTCAACACAGACTGATGATCCCCTCTTCTCTCAGGTGAGACATACTAAGTAATCAAGTGGTTTTGTCTCCATTCTGGAAATGTAGCCATATATTAACATCCTAGTGGTTTCAGAAGTGCTGCATTTCATTTTGATTTCACGTCCTCCCCAGGGAGAAGAACCACTGGGAGCAATTCACTTGAGAGGCTGCGTGGTGACAGCAGTGGAAGATATGCCAGACAGTAAGGAACCATATTGAATGAGCTCTCTAATAAGTTTTTGGTATAACCCCCCCCCCCCTTTCAATCTGCCTAAAATCACAAGTGTTTTTTATTCCAAAGCAATCTATGTACAATGATTCAGTAATTCTAATAACTGATCTCACTCTTTCTGTCTGAACTACTGGGGAAGGCACTGTGGTAAAAGTAGCAATAAGGATTTTTGTATATTGTCAGTACTTTGAGGAAGGCTGGTCAGAAGGATGACACAAACCCTGTGTTAGAACTGGCCTTTAGGCAAAGTAAGCTGAGTTTGATCTCTTTAGTTAATGAATTTGGAATGGAAGCTTCATGCTAGAAATGGTTATGCTGACAAATAGTTACTGTCCACCTTCTTTTCCTTCCCAAAGCTAGAAATTGTGGGAACAGAAATGGTGTTGCTGCAAGGACAAAGAAACATTAATTTCATGCATTCTCCTCTCCACAGGAGAGGCTGGCTATCATATCCAGCAAGAAAGTTTTTTGGCACCTCAGAAAATAAATGAATATGACATAAACTCAAACATCTTATTTTTGTAGCTGGCAAGGCATGGGACGGTTTGGGGAATATGATCTGTCTGCAGGATTGCAGATCCTTCCATGATTTGAAACCAACAAACCAGTGACTCCTGAGGGTGAAACGTGAAAAATTCATGAGTGTTTTGCTGAGAGAGAGAGAGACTCATCTCTTGGACCCAATCTTTGTGAAGGCCTGATCAGGCTCAGCTGTAAAAAGAAAGGAGACTCCCTTACAATGTGTAAAGGAGGAAATACTGAAAGTACAAGACTTTTTTCTCTCATAACTGACTTTCTTATTTTTCCCTTGTAGCCAAGAAGTATGATGCCGACAATATCCTCTTTGAAATCATCACAGCAAATGAAATCCACTATTACTTGCAAGCAGCCTCATCCACAGAACGTACAGAATGGATCAAAGCAATCCAGTCTGTTTCTAGGACTGGTAAATGAAGATGATCTTCCAACAAGACAGAAAAATTAAAACAGAATTTAGCATTTCACCAAGAGAAAGCAGTATCATCCCAAAGAGCTTGTGTGTAAGGGTTGAGGACTGGGTGGAAGTTTCAATTTTATAGTGGGCACTAGCAAACTAACATGTTTCCACTTGTGTTATGGTAATATTTTACTAAATTATAACATAGAACATGCCATATTAGTGTGTTGCTTAATCAGTCTACCTTGACAAGGTTGTACCTGTTGCTACAGCTGATAGTGGGAATCTGACCATTAACAGGGAACACAGTCATGTCACTGACAGAGAGTTCCTCAGTTAATCATTCTCTTCAGCCTGTGATGTGTTTCAGGATTTTCATGTAATTCAGTCTTCTCCAGACAATTTTTACACTTTCTTCTTTACCAGATCTTGTTGCTGCTTGTTCACTTATACAAATAATGCCATAGATATATGGAAAAGAAGTGAACTCATTTGGAAACTTGATCCACTCCTTTCCAATCTGGCAGCATTAAGGGAGGGAAGAATGCAGACAACTATGGAAACATCATGTGGAACCAAGTAGAACTCCATGACAGCAGTATGAGGAAAAGTCTCTTCCCACAGTATTTCAAACACAAAGCAATCTCACTCCAAACTCCATATCACTCAATCTTAAACCTTGCCAAATTTCTCCACAAGAATTTGCCCCGAGACCATTGTTTCCCTTTATTTGGGTCTACAAAGCAGATGCTGGGTTGTTAGGTATGGCACTCTATTTGAATTAATAATCTTGCAGGAGAAGGGAAAGGATGCATGGGTTGGTTACTTGAACTATGGATTGAAGGGGTATTGATTAGATTTTCCTTTTTTAACCTCCAGCAACATAAACATACTCAGTCCTTGATTCTGTGCCTTAGCAATATAAGAGAAACCTTGTGCTCTTAACTGAAATAAATATTTTTATTTGATAGGGTCAGTTCACCTGATCAATTCTTGCATTTTTGTCTGACTGTATATCAAACAAATTTCTAAGTCTTAAACTCTAAGGAGGAGTTAAAAATCAAGTTAATGTCAGATTGTGCATGTCGGCTGTTCCTGGTACACACTGATGTGTGAGTGAAGGAGACTTCAAAATCTTTAAAACTCTGTTCATAAATCTAATAAGGTACCTTATACTTAAGAATTCTTATTGGGATCTCTTCCATCTAAAAATAAATGCAGAGCTAAAGCTTCTCTCCAGTTGTGCTTAATTATACCTGTAGCTGAGCTAATGAGCCTGAAACCCGGTTGCCTGTCTTTACTTATCCCAAAGAAAACACAGCCTTGCAGGAGCAGCAGGCTGAGACACTGCATCATCATGTCCACTTCCTCTGGCCAGCAGAAATCAGCTTCTGGCAGGCATTTCCTGTCTCTCACGCAAGCTATCGGGATCGTTGAAGTCTGATGTGTCATTCTGAGGAAGGAAGACTCATGGTAAAAAGACCCACTTTTTGCTCAGCCTGCTTTCATGATAATTTCTGCTTATTTTTGCTTTTAGAGCTCACTAAACCAAAAATATCCAAGGGCACAGGAAAAGAGAACAAAAAACCACCCCACACAACCAAATAACAGAAACTTGTCCAGCTTACTAAAGGAGGGACGTAACTACCAAAATTTAACAAAAATTAAAATGTTTTACCAGTCCATGACCTTATAATTTTAAACTTGTGCCCAGTCCAATGTATGGCTGTCTACCTATAAATGGTGTTTTCTCACGCAGAGGATGATAGTCAGTGTATTTATGGGAGAGTTCTTATGTTTGTACCATCCTATACTGGGGTCTGTAATCGCATAGCTAGTGCTTCAGAAGACACATTCCAAGGGTTTGTAGGTGCCTCTGCTTCTTGGCAGCAGTGAGAAGATCATGTCCAAGGAAATTCAGAATTAAAAAGCAACTACATTATCTATCAGAGATGATAATGCCAGCCCAGTAACTCAGAAGGCATGGAAGAGGCACAGATCCTGAATACTGGTACAAAGAAGAGAGAGACAGCTTTGAGAAAGGAACTACTAAACAAAAGGGAGGAAACAGAAGAGCAGACCTACGTGTGTCATGCTTCCTCTAACTTTCACCCTCTAACTATTTAAATCACACTTCTACCCCACCCTCAGCAATTACTACATTAGCATCGGTTTCTTTTTTTACTTATAAGAAAGACCTAGTCTAAAGGACAGCAAAATAAACAAACCATTGTAGATAAGGATTGTATTTATTATCTTCACTTACTGGATGACTTGTATAATATAACCTCATATAAATATCCTCTTAAGTTCATGTTTGTCTTGCCACAACTTGCACTAAGCAATTTTCCCTCCCCTGGAACACTGCCTATGTACTTACTACAGTCAGAGTCAGATTTTTGGGAATGTTGCCTAACCATGCACCCATAAAAACACCCACACAGACACAGCACTCCTGCTTCCATTTTAAAATGAAGTTTAAAAGAAAATGGTATGAAGCAAACCACAAACACAGATGCTGAAAAAATAATAATCCCAGCCCAGCAAGCTTTCAGCTTGAGTCAGTGTTAGTACTTATAATCCAACAGACAACACATAGGAATGTAGTTTGGACTTAATATGTCTCTAGCATTTTTTTCAAAGAGCTGTTTACTTTCCCTGCCCCACAGCTTTCTTCTGAAGGGTTAGGTGATAGAACTTTCTTGATGAGTGTAGTTATTTTGGTGCTTTTCTTTGCAGTGTGCTGTCTTTGCTTTTTATTTGAAAGAACAGTTAACAGAAAATGTGAAATGTCTACTGAAAATGTGTTTTAGTAATAGAACTAACTAGTTTACTTCATAATATTTAATCAAAGTTGTTTCATAAAGACAAAAAAAACCTCATTAAGGCCTCTGAGGCATCTAACGTTTACTGTCAAACCTCTCTTATAGAAAAGTTTTATTTTTCATATCTTCTCACAATATTACATAGAACTCTTCAATGCAGTAGTACCTCTTCTGTCTTTGGCTTGGAGTTCACTTTACTATAAACATTAAATACCTATTTTTCCCCCCTAAATTTTCTCAAATATTTGAGAAGTTAAGTTCAAACTACTTGCTTCACAGGGCTTTTGATAAGTGCTTTTCACTGTTTGAAGTGCTCCTCCATTTGTTCTGAGCTCAAGCTTGGGCAAAACTGAAATCCAGAAAAAAATTCCCTAAATAATCTTTTTGGTGAGGGCCAGAAACATTTAAGTAGGGTGGGAGTTTTTGGGGGAGGGCAGGGGGGTGGGAATGGGTTTGGTTTTTTGGTTGTTCTTTCTCTCTTTGTATCTTTTAAAACTGTAAGAGACTACAGGAGGAATTTGAAAAGGGAAAATACGTAGGTAAGAGTCCTCTGCAGGTTGTTGGTATTTCTGTGGGTGCCTTCAGTTTGTGTTTTGAAAAGTGTAGATAACTTTTGTTTGAGTTGTGATCTTCTCGTTGATGTATAGAACTTTTTCTATGCTCAAGGTGAACTCTGACTGAAAACAAAGTTCTTCTTTTGTTGTTACTCATCAGACTTCTTGAAATAGAACTTCTTTATTTGGCTTCAAAATAAGCTTGGGAGGGGGGTTTTGATTAGAACATAGCACTTCCTGCTTTGCATTTAGAACCAAAACTGTGGCTTTCCATACTTTGTTTCTGGTTCTTGTAGATTGCTTATTTTTTTTTCCTTCCAGTGCAGTAAAAAGGAGACTTAAACTGTATAAAGAGTGAATAAAATGCTGCTTTTCATGCTTCATTGGCCTTCCATGTTAAATTTTATGGGCAACATTAAAACTCTTTGCTTTCCTGCATGGACTCTGCCTTTGTTTTAAGATGACAAAGTCTTTCCCTCCTTTTCTTCAACTCATTAAAAGGTGACTGAGCAGGAGGGAGGAAAATAATAAAAGGGAAATGCTGATAAACTGGATGGAATTTTGCTTCTGGCACTTGAAAGGGAGAGAGATGATGTTAGTATTATTTTAAATCTGCCTTCAGTATGTTTTTCACCACAATTCTGAATATTAATAAACTGGAGTGATCAAGGGAGAGGAAAGAGACCTGGGGATTGACTAGTTTAATTAAAAAAATCCCAAACAACTAGGCACCCTAATCTTCCTACATCCTCAAACTCTGATATAAAAAGACACAAAAATACTCTTGGCATATTGCCATTAGCCTCTCTCTCTATCAAAAATACTAGAACAGCCTATTGCAGACTAATAGAGTATCAATTATGTAAATCAATGTATGATCAGTCTTTTCATGTACCTGCTTCCATATTGTAAGGAAAAGTCTGAAAACCCTTTCTTAATCAGCAAAGAATATCAAAAGAAAATCAAGAAACCATCTCTTCTGTCCTCCATTGCTTCTGCTTTATGTGTATGTAAGTTGCTGTGTTTCCCAAGTACATGGTGGGTAAAGTACAGTAACAAAATCGATGCACATGTGTGAGATATTTTTGAACAATAGGAAGAGTTATTTAGATCAGGCTTTTAACACTCTTATGTAGCTTTTTTCTAAAAGGAAGTATTTAATTATTCTAGCATACGACTGGTAAAATAAGACTGGTTTGTTGGTTTGGGTTTCTCTTAATTAATATTTTTTACTTAAAGAAATGGTTTATTTCCCAAGTTACATCTTCAATTTTCCCTTTCTTCTCTTCCGCCCTCCCCCATATCCTTCTTCTTATAACTATTTTGACCTAAACATCCTAAAACACAGCTTGTGTTTCTGCTTTTAGGCATCATAGAGTGGATCTTGGATGAGAAAACATAAATGCCTAGTGTCATTGCAGAATTGCTACAACATACCATGTGTTTTTTAGTCACGCCCTTAAAACAGTCAAAACTTCCTCTCTCCTCCTCATACTTGTGGGCTGTACATAGATATGTGGCTCCTTTATGGGTATTGGGTTTTGAGCAGGTCCCTGGTGTTGCTATCTCTAAGTACACACATCGATGAGCTGCATGTTAAAATTACGGTTAAGAGCAGTGTAACTTAGTGAAACAAATTGTCTGCAGACCAGTGATGTTCAAAAATAAAGGTGCACTAGAAAAGCCAATTTAGTCTGGTCAGCCACACTGGGTGACTTTTGGCATGCTTTTTGTCATTGGCTATGCTGTTAAAAGGCTATATAGTGTACCTGGTGAAACCTAGGTGTTAGGATATCCCACTTATATTTGTTCAGTGCCCTTGTTCTTTAGCAATGTGATAAAAAAGTAGTGGAAACTATTGAAAATATTCCTTCAGTGGAACAGACTAGTAAAGCTCTTATGGGTTATTGCAATATTTCATTTATTAGTTGCTAGATACTGCTGCTGCAAAAAAAAAATACTTTGTCTTTCTCAACTTTTTTCCCATATATTTTTCCCATATAAGGTTTAAAGACATAAGGTGGCTGGTTTATTTTGCTGAATAATTAATATATAATACTGAATATTTTACTGTTCCCAGCTTGCTCAACCTATACCTTCAGTTAAAGTCTTCAAGCTGAATCATCCAATAGGCAGCTGACAGCAGCTTTTTGTTTTGGCATTCTGAGACCATGGAAATGTTTAAAAAACAATATTTGGTGCTATTACCTCATGGCCACTGGTGTCCTGTGGCATCTGGAGAAGCTTTTGTGTACAGCTCTGGTATCTCAGCAACAAAACAGCCCATGCAGTCAGCACCCCTGGACTGGCAAACAGCAGATCCTTTGCCCCTTAAGGTTTTTAAAGTTTTTAAAAATGCAGCTTTAACAACATTTTTAAACATGAGTCAAAACCAGCCAATGTTGTACCTAATTTGTGTGCTCTAGCAGGCTGGATTTTATTCCCCTCTGGCTTTGTAAATCCATAGTTGCTGGGCATGGGTTGGCAGTGCTGGACAGGGTGATTCTGAGGAGGTGGGGGAGACTGCAGCAAACTGTGCCAGTACATAGAATTATCCTCTTGGGTTTCATCTTGGTAGATCCTCCAGGATCTCTGAGTTTGCAGTCCATCACCTCCCTCCTTCCCTTTCAATCCACAATTGTAGCTTGGGTTTTTTGATTTACCAGAATAGCAGAAGTGGGTTTAGCCCTTCATACTGAGGCCTCAACCCCTCCCACCCCCCTACACTCAATTCTTGGCATTGTGCTGATCAGAAGATGCTGCTGACTTAAGGGGTTAAATGCAGCAGGTGATTTCTTCTGTGGTTTTGGAGATGGACTTTTCTGAACAACCAATAGGGTGAAAAACAACTGCGAAGTGTCAACGTGCTCTTGGGAAGCCAATATACCTCATCCCAAGTTCACTTGGAGGGAAAATAAAAAAATAACACCACCATCACCTAAGTCCTCTCAGCTGTATGCTTTTATTGGCTTCCCGTCAGCTCTGGTGGGCTGAAACATCTGATCACAGTCCTGAGCTCAACTGTTCTGCCTTCAGTTGGGATAACTTTGTCACTTGGTACCATTCAAAGATGATCAGGATTAACACATGGTTATTGGCCTATTGGCAGAAACACTCGACTAAATTAGCCTTGAAATTTGAGTGGTCTGATTAAAAGCCTGTGGTGATCAAATATCTCGTGCATACTTTTTCATTTAGTCAGTTAATGGCGATGGCCCAAAGCCACATCCTGCACCATGATGAAATACAGCCACACTGCCAGCGAGTCACTTCAAAAATGGAGTACTGCAGCAATGAGTAGCTGCAAAGAAGGTTCTAACACCAACAGGTGTTATTAAAAACACCACAGGTGGTTTTTGGAGATGTAGAAATAAAATGTTGACCTGGTGGGCCCTCCAGCTGAGCTTCAGTGCTGGTCTTTTTGATATCCAGCTGTGCAGCACCTCACAGGGTTTCGTGCAGGAGGGAAGCCTTTTTTTCTCATAGAAGCCTGGCTGGTTTAAGGCTTTGTTGCATAGTTGAGTAGTGTGGGCAGAAAACATTTGCAAACAGCTCTGCACACAAAAACTTCATGTGCTTTCTCTAAAAGGCTCTGTATCCTAGGAAAACCAGGTGGGAGGACGGTGAATGGCAGGAAGACCAGGTGATGCCTTATGAAGGCTGACCTAGAACAGAGACTAGATGGAGCTAAAGAATAAAGGAGGTATTTATTACAAGGCCTCAATGGATTCACCTTGGGCAGCACAAGAGCCCAGCCAGGGCTACACCCAAGACGAACCCAAAATGGTCACAAAAAGGACAAGTGGTCACAGGGTCTCACAATTTTATAAGTTCTGGTCCATTAGCATATTGGAGCTAATTGTCCAATTATAGCTTTAAGTTATGAAGTCACAGCTTTGTTTTTCTCTGTTCAGTCCACTGTTGTTTATGCTCTTGGGCCTGAAATTTGGATAATCTGTCCTTGGTCCCCAGCTAGAGAAGGAATTGTTTTGTCTACCTGTTCTGTGAAGAGAGCTTACCATCCCCTAATATGAAGCTCAGAAGTACACTCTAAAGCAGTACAGAATCCGAAAAATAGAAAAGCTAAAACCTGAGGCATCACAGGTGGAAAGCCTAGGTGATGGACACCTCGGGCACCTTTCTGCAGCTGCCACCTTCCAAGTGACAGGGGCATAAAAATGGCATGAGAATGGAAGTTCAGAGGGGTTTGCAAAAGTAGAACTTTGCACTTCAGCAAAAACATGTGGGTAAGAGGTAAGCTCTGGAGCAGAAAAAGGGTTTCACCAGCCAAGGTGTGAGGGCAGCTAATGCGTGCCCCGGGTGGTGTGAGCTTTACATGTGTGGTTTCAGCTGCTGAGCATGCTCTCTGGGGAAGGACACCCACATATGAGTGCTAATTCAGGCATTGGTACAATCTGCCTATTTCTGGCATTTCAGTGGCTTTTGTTGGCAGGCAGAAGGGGCAAGAGATGAGCTCAAACCAGGTGGTGCAAGGAGTGCACCACTGGATGCTGCTGGGATGTCTTTAAAGGGAAGGGAACACATCCATCCTGCAGCAGAGATGGGAGGCTGAGTAGATGCTGCAGGGGCAGAGAGTAGAACAGATGTAATGAAATCTCCAGGGGGAATTAAAACCCTTAAAGGAAGGAGTCAGAGTAGGGAGAGAAAGAAAAGTTTGTTTTTATGTGGATTTGTACTTAAATACTTTTTTAATCTCAGTCATAGATTTTTCACAAGAAACATACACCACTGTTACTCCAGCTTTAAAGATGCAGGCCTTGTGTAGTTGCATAGCTGCATGTTTAATTACTTGTTTTTAAAAGGCACAGCCACCTGATCTGAACAGAGGCAGAGACACAGCAGATACTGGGGACTCTTAATGCTCATTAAAGAGAACGAGAACAGGGAAAAGCTACAGCTAAGTGCACAGTGAAGTAACTGTTTTAGGATTCAAACCTAATATTATTCTGTTTACAAACTGTATCCTGAGACAAATACACGAGAAATTACAGCATAAGTAAGAAAAGAAAAGAGCAGGAATAGAGGATAAATGTCAGGGATTTACAGACTGGAGGTAACAGAGAAGGCTGGATGAGAAAGGTGAGGGACTAGATCCATTATTGTGCAGTTTCCCTATGTTATGATTAAAAAAAAAAGGGCAGTTTTGAGGTGATGAGAATGTACTGCTAGTATTGTTTTCTTCTTGATTATATCAGATGCACTTTTTGCACTTCTAGCTCTCTTAGGGTAACGGAGTGATGCTGCCCAGAGGATTCTTTCCAGTGTCTGGATCTGTCCCTTGCCCAGCCTTCCTTTGTGGGCTCTCATGTGCTACTGATACATTTCATGTCAAAAGATCAAACACACCTTGGGGGTTTTTGGGGGTTGGTTTTTTTTTTTTTTTAATATAAAAATCATATCTTCCAAAACAAAAAGTGCAAACTGAAATTATAATCAGCATATTTTTGACAGTGCAGTAGAACATTAAATTTATAAATATAAATTACAACAAAATATTTAGTTGCCTTTAGAATTTTACATAAAATTAATACAGTAAAATGCAAATTTAAAAATACAGACAAATTTTTTTTATAAGTTTTCACCATAAATTCATAACGAGCTCAAAATCAGTTTCACAACTGCTGAACAGTGTGTCTGCTATTGGTAAAATTTGTCTGAGTTGCAAGAATCAGCACTGGTTTATCATCTCTCAAGTTCTGCTTCCAAGATTTCTCCCCACGTGTCGACATCCATTGGATACATGCTTTTCTCTGGCAAACTGAATTGTGAAGGAATGTTGCTGTATTTCCCACTAAGCCATTCTTGCTTCACTTTGCTTTTCCAGTAGTTTCTCAACAATGTAATCTGGTGGAAAAACATATAGTCAGATCTCAGAAAGGAACCAATTTAAACTGCATTCAATATAACAAGTTTACACTAGAGGAGTAGTGCTAGAAAAGGGATTTGGAATGTGCTTTTGGATACCTAGACTTTAAATCCAGGAAGGTGAAATGCTGCCGAGAAGCAGAACATGTTCTACTTCCAACTTTTCTGTTCCAGCCTCAGTTCTTTGGTGGTCAAGACGAAAAACCCAAACCAGGAATTTGTCTTACTCCTTAAAAAAGGCGCCTTCCACTTTCTATTTAGGTTGTGACCTTTCCTTTGTTGGGAGACTGGCTGGGTTCTTCTCTTCTGCCAGCCTTTAAGGGCAAGAAAATGTAGACTTGGTGTGTTTGTAGCTTCTATTTCAAATGCCCTCCAGATAAAACAGACAATCAGTGCAGGGAGTTCTGGAAATTGCTGTGCAAGGGTAGCAAGATCTATACACTGAAAGGGTAACCACTATCTGCTCATGTCTGTGTCTCACATTGCAGAAACGTTACTGAAATGTCACAGTCCAGTGGCTGCTTTTGTTTCTTTTGCTGCTGCTTCTCTCTCTTCACCCCTCCAGTGCTCTCAACCACACCAGCTAAACTAAGGTGAGAGATTACCCTATAGCAGGCCCAGAGTAACCTGTGGAACCAGCTACCCGGTCTACCTGGTCAGGTCCTGATCTATCTCAACTTCCAGGCTGGATTCAACAGTGAGAGATCATTCGGCAGGTTCTGGAGCTGAACCTGCTGCAAACTGCTCAGAGCAGTCTGTGTGTGGGGAGATTTTCTAAACAGTTTATAAAAGCTCCTGCTCATTTCCTTTCCTATTCCCCATTTTTTTCCTCCTGAATATGTGTCACTTGAGGTAAATTGAGACAGCACTATCCAGGATGATTTTTCAGGAAGTCATTCCTAACCAGCAGATCTGTTTCCACAAAATAGAACAGGAGAGCACACACTGCCTGTCGGAGTTCTGTTACCCAGTCCCCGCCGGCCCCATCTGCGGGAACTTTGTCCCGTGTCAGGGCTGGTGTATGACGAAGGTCAGCGCTGAGGCTGGGCGGGGCAGCAGGAGGACTTATGCCGAGCCGGACAGGTTGTGTCCTGGGTAGGAAAAGGGACAGCTTTGCTTTATCTCCCAGTGTATTTTACCATATGTCCCTCTGCCGGGATGCGCTAGCGAGCCACGCTGTCACCGCAGCCGATCCCCCACAACCTTGGGATGGGTGCGACAGGCTGATGTCATTTCCTTATATTTTCTATTGGCCCTCAGCATTCTCGTTTATGTCACTGCCGGTGTTCAGCCGCTGGAGGTGGATTTACCTTCCAGGAATAGCCGTTCCCTCGGTCGCAGTCGATCTCCCGCTGGCAGACGGCGCGCACGGCCAGGCAGTGGTGCCGCCACAGCCGCTCGTTGCTCTCGATGACGCGGTGCCAGCCCTTGCACGTCACGGACGCGTGGCACAGGCTCTCGACATCCAGCCCGCTGAAAATCCGGGAGGTGATCTCGGGAGGAAGGGCAGACACGAAGTCACCCAGTCCTCCTCTTCCTCCCTCGGCGCTGTCCCGGCCGGCGGCGCGCTCCGCGTCCATCCCCGCGGCCTCGGAGTGGGGAGGCGTCACTGCGGCCTCTCTGTGTGCGGCCGGCCGCCGCCGGCAGCGCTGCGGGCTGGCTGCCTGCCTGCCGCCATGTCCCCGTCGCCCGCCCGCCGCGGGTGTGCGCGTGGGGCGCTGCTTTTGGGGCGAATCTCCGCAGTTTCGGCACCACGGAGGCGGCGCCGCCGCACGGCCCGGGGAAGCCGCGCGTCACGGGGCGGCCGCGCGTCATCAGGCGGCGGCGGCTCCTGCCGGGCTCGGCACCACCTCCGTCCCTGTCCCGGCGGCTCCGGCAACCCCGAGGTGAGGCCGGGCCGGCCCCGCAGAGCCGCGGGCCCGAGGGAGCGACCCCCGCTCCCGGGGCCCGAGTGGTTCGTGTCCGCAGCCGCGGGGTTCGAGGGGGAGCGCTGCAGCCCCGAGGGTGTAAGGGGCAGGGAAAGCTCGGCTCCAGCGGAGGGCGGCGAGGATGATTGGGAGAGTGGAGCATCTCTCGTAGGAGCAAAGGCTGCGGGAGCTGGGCCTGATTGGCTTCGAGAAGAGACGGCAGAGAGGGGACCTCAGTAATGAGTATAATTATCTAATAGAAGAGTGCCAGAAGGATGGACCAGGCTGTGCCCACTGTTTCAGAACTCTGGAACAGGAGGCAATGGGCAGAAGCTGATGCACAGAAGTTCCCCCTGACTATAAGGAAGAAGTTCTTCACAGCCGTGGCTGTGCATGGAACAGATTGCCGAGAGAGGCTGAGGATTGTCCCTCAGTGAGGGTATTCCAGAACCATCTGGACGTGATCCATGTGTTCTGGGATGACCCTTCTTGAGCAGGGAGCTGGGGCCAGATGACTCCCTGTGGTCCCATTGAACCTCACCCATCCTGGGGTTTGGTGAGCCCCTGCAGAGCTGAATGGCTGGGGGCTGAGCTTAGCCTTTGGTGTTTCTCTTCACAGGGCCACAAAGAGCAAGCTCAGCTGGTCAGCATGCGGTCTCTGCAGTGCAGAAAGTTCTGGAAGGGTTGGCAGAGACTCCCCAGTGCTCTGTGCAGGGAATACTGCAGCAATTATGACTTGTTTTTCCCTGATTATTTGTGCTGGTGAATTAAGTAGTGGAAAGGCAATGTGTTGAAAGAAAAACAATTGCACTTTGGGTGAGCTTTCATAACCTAAAAAGCTTTTTAGATGTTGTGGCTCTGAACTGCGGCTTTTGAAACTAGCACCTGCCTGCAGCCTCAGTGCTGCAGGCTTGTAGCCTGTAGTGAGGACTTGATGAGAAGTGCTTGATTCATTGGGCATCTGATCCTGAAAACTGCATCTTAAAATCATTGCCTGACTTTTAGGATAGGATCAGATTTTGGAGAGTGTGCAGATTTACCATAAAGCAAATTCTAAGATGCAGTTTCGGCTTTCTCAAAGTTTTGTCATGGTAGCAACCAGTGTTAATTAGGTACTTAAGCCCCAAAACACCACAGTTGTGGTCAGCAGTTATTAGAGTCTTTTGTTCAAAACCCTTCAGGTGTGAGGTAAAAGGAAGATGCATTTATTTCCTCTGTAAGGTGATGTTAAGAGGATGTTGACAATCAGTTTCAAACTGCATTTGTTAATGGCAAACATTCAGACAAACGTTTGTGTTTGAGTCAAAAGTGCCTGTTTATATTTGTAGTGTGTGAATAGATCAAACTGATTTTGTTTTGTCAGAAAAACATCAGGAGGCTGATGCAGAAGCACCAACTGTTCATGCTGTTGAGATGTCCTGTATTCCACTGTTAATGGAATGTTCCAGCTCTGAGGTACAGGGAGCTGCAGAAACAAGGAATAATGATGCTACCTCCAGATTTTTGGTGGGTACTTAAGTTTTTAAAGAAGTTTAATATTTGTAAGCATGTATTGAAAGTTAAGGAGGTGTTATGTTCTCTATACAAATGAAATGTCAGCCTTTGCTGTAGTTGAGATCCCTGGGGTGGACTGGCTCAGGAAATTCAAAATGATAGTGTTGTTTTCAGTAAATAGTGAATGTGACTTTGGTGTATTTGCATTGTTTTTACAGAGATTTAGAGTCTGGTTACTTTCTGGAGAAATAAACTGTAGGAATGCAAAAAAGGCTTTTATGTTTGAAGGGGTTTGGGGTTTTTTTTCTTGGACAAGTAGGCTTTTGTTAAACTTGCTCTTTCTGTTATATCTCTGTAGGGAAACTAGAGCAAGGTGGTGGTAAAGCTCTTCTATGAATCTTTAAGTTTGTAGCCTTTTACATATTTATTCTAAAGATCTAAGAAGTTCTGTTTTATTTTGTTTTGTTTTTGCTGAATGAAGGTTCCAATAAATGTTGTTTTTCTGAGTGGGTGGAAACTCAAAAAAAAGTGAAATATTTGAGCAATGGTCCCCATAGAAAAAGTAGGTTGTTACCCAGACTGCTTTTGAAGGGCATAACTGAGTACAAACTGTGGTCTAGTTTCCCCCCCATTCTTCTGTAACTGGATAAAGGCACTGAACAGTAAACGTTCTTTCAGGTTTCTCTTTCTGATGGTAATGAAAGCAAAGAGTCAAAATCTGTTCAAAGAAAGAGAGTGCTTCCATCTTGGATGCTGGAAAGAGATCTGGTGGTGCAGAGGGTTTCCAGGCCTGTTATGACAGGAGGTAGGTTTGCAGTGTGATAATGATTGCATTCCAATATGCATTTCTGTGCTTTGATATAATTTTTTGAATTATAATGGTGGTGGTAGGAAGTATTAATTTTCTACTTCTCTTTCCATGCTCTGTGTGGGACTGACAAAACTTGTGTTGTCTCCTTTGTCATCAGTCCTATGGGAGTGATAGAGCTCTTTTTCATCACTTAATTTTCTTTCTGTTCTTTTTGTTTTTTTGCCAGATAATAAAATTTGTGCAGCTGAGTGTTGGATGTTCAGGGGCCCTTTCCTATAAACTTGCCTACTTTGTATGTAAATTCTAAGTAGTTTCTGTCTCTTTAATTCCTAACATTCTCCACACCTAAGTCACTGATGTTTTGCCCTTCTAAATTTAGATTGTTAATTTCACAGGTTTTAAAGGCAGAAGGGTTTGGGTGGTGTCGCATGTTAGATTTTTAATCAGACTTGGTTATTTAGTCCAAAATTAATTCCTAGGAGGAGCAGTTCATGACAGCTGATAGATTCTTACCAACTTAAGGCTAAACTAGTGTTGCGTTCCCCCCTGTTCTTGTGGGAAAAGAAATTGCTGGATGTATCATGTGCTGCTGCCGCTGCCTATCAGCAGTGGCAGCAGCAGAAGGCTGTGTTCAGTCGCTGTCAGTGGGACACACAAGGTGCCTATGCATTGGTACAAGCTCAAGAAGGCTTTCTAACCTGTCTGCCTTTGGTCCTGGGAGCTTCTAAAACTGCCATTAGACAAACTTTCTATGTGGCATTTATTGCCCGTGTGACTTTTATTGATGGAACAGGAGGGCCAAAGAAGTGATAGGGGGAAAGTATTTCTGTCATTCTCTGTGCTGAACACAGCACACCCCACCCTGTTTGCCCTTCTGTGGGGAGGTGTGAAGTGGTTTGGGTGCAGACTTGAGTTTCCTTTGCTGGTCAGTCCCAGTGTATGAACTGTGGCTGGTGGGTGTGTGTCTGCTCCCCTGTGTGCAGCAGCTCTACTCTAGTGACTCTTTCCAGCTGCTGTTTCTGCTGAGATGCTGTTGTGGATTTGGATCTTAATATCCAAGCAGGACCGCAGGAGTATGTTATGCAGTGTCTGGCCAGTTGCTTCTTCCATCCTGTTGTAAATACAGGTGTCTCTGTGCACTGATGAGGGCAGCTGTGGCTTTAAACACCTCAGTCATGTGCCATCCACCACACTGCCTATGCTTTTCCTCAAAAGCTAGTTTGGAAAAAATTATAAGATGACAAAGAAAATCTGTGTTTCAGTATTTTTTTTTCTTTCATCTCCCTTCTAAATCTAGACTGTTCCCTCCTGCCATATTTATATAAAAATTGCATAGTGTTGAGTCCTGTACTGGTGTGATAGTTTTCTTATGTTTGTGCTTTTGTTTTGTATTTTTGGGGGAGTGGGTTTTTTTTGTCTATTTGTTTGTTTCTCTGCCAGTACTTACAACTTTTGTTATATGTTGGGGTCCGCTGTTATTTGTCTCTGCCCCGACACAGGAAAAGTGGTTCTGGGTGGCCGCAACCTCGAAGGATGAGTCTGGACTCTCAGGTTTTCAATCTTCAATCTTGTTTATTAATTCTTATCTACAAAGCTTTTCTTTCTGCCCAGCCGAGGTCCGCTCAGCAGGACAGTCAAGTGCACTCTCCCCCGCCCACGGGACGGTTGTGTCTTTTATAGTGAAAATTACGTATATCATATTTACCTTTAATTCCCAATACTTTTCACCCTTATAGACAAGTGTACCTTCACCATGAACCAATCCAAAAGTGCCAACATCATCACACAAAATGGAAGACATGAAGAAGAAAGAAGAACACAGGACCACGCCCTGAATCCTCCATCTTGTCTTCATGACCCCCCTGTACCTATTTTTCTAAAATCTATATTTCATCCTGTAAATATACTATTCACACCCAAGAAGCTCTCATTTCCTCACACACCGATTTTTCCACTTTAGATGGATCAAAGTCAAGCCACCAGACACTTTTGGCAACATTCCAAGGTCTCCGAGTCCCCCAAGGGTTCTCTCGGTGACTCTGGACATTCAGAGTGATGTGTTGAGTTTCCACAGTTATATGTGTGAATATAATGTTTATTTCAAAGACTGAATGCTTTGGTTGTGTTGGTGTTGAGATTAGAAGCTGTGTGGGTGAGATGTATCTCAAGGCCTGACTTTGGGGGAACTGGGGATACATGCAAACATTGGAACTGTTTAAAAAATCTTTTTCACAACTGCTGCTGTTTCTCATGCCATTTGCCCAGTGTTCTGCTTTAATGATTTCTATTGTCAGGATTTCACTAAAAAGTTGCATTCCAAAAGTACCCTTTTTCTTTTTTTTTTAAGGTAGTAGAAAGAAAAAAGGCCAAGGAAGGGGAGAAGGTCATACAGAGTCATTAAAATCAGAAGTACATGTACAGCCGAAAAAAATATTAGCTTCTGAAGAAACTACAGAGGATTTTGAAGGTGGAGAGCGAGATCAAGGGAAAAGGAGCTGCCTTTCTATCCCTGTTCCTTCATCTCAGGTAACTTTTTTGGCTCAGGGCAGAACCATGATATTGCAAAAAATGAGTATGTAGTTGGCAATGTCATGTTGAAGGTTGGGTCTACAACGTAACTTTTTGTTCTATGAGTTCTGGTTATGATTTGTTGTTTTGAAATACCAGTCCATTGGTTAGCTCTGTAGCAAGGATCATGGAAGCCTGAGAGATTTGGTTTTCTGCATTTCCTTCAAAGGATCTGGGACTTGGGCCCCAAATGTCCCACAGAAGTACCAGACTGAGAGCTTTGCAGCAAGAGGCAGGAACACGTGGGCCAGAGCACTGCTCTAGGAGTGGCTGGTGGCTTTTTTCTGAGAATCTTTTTGGGTGGGTGATGGTGTGAAACTGATGCAGCGTGACACTGGGCTTTGCCCAGGCTATTGCCATTCTGTTAGGTGAGGGTTTATGGTCGGATGAGGGTGGTGTGTGGCTCAGCAACTGCTGTGTTTCAAAGGAAGGTAGCATGGAGTCTGCTTATACCACCGTCTCAAAATCTGAGTCAAAAAAAGGAAAGGGGAAAAAAAGTAACCTGAAACCCAAAATGATATTTGGCAATGAGTAACAGACCCTTTTGTCCAGCTGGTCATCTCTCTGTGACCTCACAGTACAGCTGCATTTATAGGCAGTTTAATCCTTACTGCAAGTGGTGAAAAGAGAAGGATCATTGCTAAAGTCAAACAAAGCATATTCTGGTGAGAGCAAACTGAGGGTTTCACTGACTTGTTTCCTTTAAGTGAACCACTTGGGAAGGTGTTTTTAATGACTGACATTAAATTTGCCTGGGTGTGTTACAGGATCTGATAAAATACTTAAAATGCTTCTGACACTGAAAATTATTGGGGTTTTGGTTTTAAGGTTAATTGAAACAAACCGTGCATGGAGACCAAGTAGTAGTAGTTGTTTTGGTATAACAGTGGTCCACTGGGTCCATTAATAACAGCTGCTGATCTATTTTCTCTTTGCCAGGTTATAAAATGAGTGACTATATAATGAATTATTCAATTTTGCAATTTGTAAGTAGGAAGCCTTACTTATTTTCACCTAATAATTTCACAAATCATTTTAATTTCAAGTACAGTTTAAGAAATTGCTTTCAGGACTTTGCAGAGAAACTGATGTATTAGGACAAGCTAGAGTAGTAACCATAGAGAGCTCTGAAAGACTGTAATTTGGATATCAGAGCCTAAATCAGGGTTCTGCTGTCTTGTTTAAGGCGATTGAGAAAATGTTCTGTAGGGAAGAAAGCAAAAATATTTGAATTGTTGTGGTTGGCAGCAGCCACCGGAGGCTGTCCCAGTGCTGAGTGCTGGTGGTTTTTGGTTTCCCTGGATCATAGCCTGGTGTGTAACCAGGGAATCAGTGTGAGCCTTCTAGCTCCTTATGTACAATACAGGCAATGAGTGGAAATACGTGGCAGGGAACTCAGAAGTGGTAGTGGCAAATAACAGTAATTTATGCTTTCTTTTGCAAAGGAAGGCTTATTTCTTAAATTGCAGTTGATTGCTGAGCTGTATTTTGGGAGTTGTCTTTGTCTCCTAGTTGAGCCACTAAATATGGTTCTGTCAGGATCATCTGATGTTAAAGCTGACTTTGCCCTTTCTTAATCAAGTTGCTGCTCAAATGTAATTGGGTTTGGATAACATTTTATGAGACTTGCTTGGAAAGGAACAAAATCAAATAGGAAATCACTGGTTGATTTTCAAGCTCTGCAAAACACACCTGTGTAAACTAAGTATAAATTTACTGGAGGAGAAAGATAGATAATAATCTTTAGAAAGCACAGACATTTGCATAGTTCTATGATGTACAAAGTAGTCCAGCCTTGAATGTAATATGCTTCCAGGTAACGTCTCAATTGTCAGGACAGTGTTTTTTCCTCAGCTGTGTATCTCAAATTCTTTTTCTAAAGAAGACATTTCTTATTTTAAATGTACATTTTTTTTTCCAAAATTTAAAATGCAGTTTGTGTCAAAGCTGAAATATTTGCTTAATGGTGTCTGTGACAGACTGTTGTGATTTAGAGTCATGAGCTGAAGCATTTAAGATGTATCAGTGTGGGATTAACCTCAGGGTATGTGTCCTGAGTTCCCATATATCTTCTATATAGATAAATACGTATATACTCCTTGTATCTTGGTGCTTAAATTATTAAGAAGCTCATGAAATTAGTAAGTGATTCCTTAATAATTTAAATTGATTCATGGGCAGGAGTCTACATTCTTCTACAGTCTACTACATCGTCACCTGTATAATTCCCATTAATTTTTTAGGAGCAGTACTTTAAATTGTGAGTTAATTTAAACTGTTCACGACCTGAGGTGGTGAGAGAACAGGTCATGTGAGGGAAATGAAGCTGAGGGAGGAAGCTGTTAGATAAGATTTTCTTTTAAGATGTGTTTTTCTTTTAAGATAAGTTTTTCTCTGTGTGTTTTCTGAACTTGAAGTTTTCATTCAGCAGCTGTGTTTAGCACAAACTTGAGTTTAGGAAGTGGAGTAGAAGATTTTTAAAGTCTAAATCAGATGAACTTTCAAGGTCCTTTCTAACTTGGGCTGTTCTGTGACTGGTTTTGAAAGCAGGGATGATGAGGCACAGTTTTACTTCAAAGCTTTTCATTCTGAGGAGTGTAAATTTTCAGTTTCTCCAAAATGTAACCTTGTTCCACAGAATACATCTGGATTTCCTCTTGAGACTACCATGAGAGAGATGGAAGGAAGTGGCAAGATTGGAACAAAGAACCCTGGAAATTCTCTGGAAAAAAATGATAGGCAGCTGCATGGCAAGTGGTCTAAAAGAGTAGGTCAGATTTCCAGTAAAGACAACAGAACTGAGGAAAGAGAAAACAAAGAGCACGTTGCTGGTTCTACAAGCCAACAAGCTCACTGGGACAGGACTTCACAATATCTTGGTGCCCAGGAAGGGATTCTTGAACCTGATGCAAATCTGGACTACAACACTGAGATTTCTGATTCAGCCAGAAGTGCAGATGCTTCAGAAAGCTCCAGACAGGTACAGCATAAGAGGATACCTTGCAAGTATGGAAGTGGCTGTTACAGGTAAACAAAATTAATACTAGCTTGGTCTAGCTTGGTATTCAGAAATAATGTATTAGCTATGGAAGAGAAAACTGTAAAGTTGTTATAAGCTTTGATTTGGAAAAAAATCTTTTGTTGAACAGGGGTCTGATGAGAAAGAAATAGCAGAACATTAATTTTAGAAGGGTAAAAGGAGAAGCTAGGATGCCTTGCTAACTCTGAATACAGCCCAAACAAGGGATGAAGTACTTGAGCAAACTAAAAGATGAAGTGTTGCAGGAAATAAAAGATAAAGGTCCATTATAAAAGGAAAAGAAATAAAAGACCTGTGTGTATGGTATGAGGTACTAGCAGGGAGAAGAGATGTAAAAGGTTCAAATGGCCAACACAGATCCTGTAGGTTTGTTTTTTTAGCAGATGAGACTTATATGAAAGATTATTGTGTTTATTGAAGTTACTGCCGGCTTTGTGATCTGAATGTTTAAAATACTTATTATTTGTCATCCATACATAATCAAGAATTTCTCTTACTATAACTTGGTGTTTCTGCAGTTTTTTTAAAGCTTTCAGTCACCTCTAAAACCAGAACAAAGCAGACTTAGAACTCGAGGTTAACCCTTATCTGGACAGTCTTTGGAAATACTGCAAGTGAGGAATAACAGGGGTTTTTCCTATTCTTTTCACTCATATTCTTTCAAGATGGAGGTGGTAGAAGATTTGTCATACAAATGTTCCAGAGAAGTTCCAAAATACCAGTGCTGGGTGCCTGGCCTCCTGCTAGTTCTTTCTGCCCAGAAAAGATCTGTGGTGTCCTGTGGTGTTATATTGGAAGGAAGGCTGAAATCTAGAGGTGCTCATAAGTCTAGAAAATGCCCAGTGACCTGTGATCTACAATTAGGAGACAGTTTTGAGCTCTAGATAATCCTATGTACTTCGTAAATACAAAAGACAAGGCTAATCCAGGAAACAGCGCCATCCTATGACTTTTTTTATCTTCCCCCAAGGGGCTTCAGAAATAACAAAAGCAGTGAGTTCGATTAGGAACCAAACAAGCACAAGTGACTGGCTTCCTGTAGGTTTGGTAGGCCTGATGCAGAGATAACTGAATATCAAAATGGTAAAGCTGTTGTGTTGATCCAGTATTGCAAATGCAGCCTCTGGTTTGCTCCAGCTGCTTTGAATTTTGCTGAGACAGGTTTTGCCCTGTGTGGGTATTAAGGAGATTTAATGCTCTGCTATGAAGAAATACTCCTTATCTTTAGTAAGGCAATTCTTAGGTACTGGTAGTAGGGAGTAGGAGTCTGTATGTGCACATTTCTTCCTGGGTCTCTTGATTGTGAAACATTTGGCAACAATACTTTTGGAAAGTATTGCTTTATAAAAAGAAAAGAATGTTCTGAAATAAATAGCAGTCTTACTTTGTCAGAGAAGTTTGTAAATAGAGAGAATCAAAAATGTCAGCTTTGATCTTCAGGAAATATTATGAAACCCAATTTGTTTGCTTGCAGCAAAAGCAATATGCTTTGTAGTCTGTCTTTGTATTTGCTTTTAGTTCAAGGCCCCTAAGTAATGGTTTGTGTGTGGTGGCAAAAGTGTGTTAGAGCAAAGATTAAATGTTAGTTCTAGTTATTTGAGTACATTTCTGTTAGCCTGTAGCAAACATTTAGCAAGTAAATTTGTAACCCATAATTTAGTTTCTTCATTTATGAATTTGAAAACACTGCTTTTGAAAGAGTTAAACTTGATGCACACCTCTTGCCCCAAGGAGTCTGCTTGTCACCTTTGTTCAGTGTCATTTACTGAGGTGGCCAAATTCAAAGGAGCTGCTGTTATCATTAGCAGACAAAGTGCTCTGTGTATGTTGTAGCTGCCTTTATTTGTTGTCGAGGAACTCACCCTCTGAATGCTGTCATGTGTTTTTGTCTGCTGCTTGCTTTTCTGAAGTTAGCAGAATAGGGAATTACAAATCTACCGCCACCACCCTTTTTAAGGGCCATCATAGAAGAGGTATAGTAGACCTGAACTCTTATCTCTGAAACTGGAACTCACAATTTTTCTTCCACTATTCAGTCTTTTTGCTATAGCCTGGTGTGCAGTTCTCTGCTAACTGGGGGTGTGTAAATCTCTCCCAGAACTGTTTGGATTTGTTTGTGGGTTCTTCTAAATACTTTGCTGTTTGTTTGTTTATGAAAATAAGTATTTTTCCTTTCACTCAAAGCTTGCAAATCTGGCAGCTAAACCCCTGCATCTGTCTTTTTTTTTTTTTTTTTTTTTTTTTTTGAGTCCTGTGTCCTATATTTTAATTAAGAATTAAAATACAGAACTTACAAGCTTGTTATGTGCAGTTATGGCATAACTTCAGGCTTGAATTGTATGGCTTTATAAGCAGTGCTGGTAATTCATTACATTTTCACTAGGAGGTTCTTTCAGTAGCTGAAGAAATAAGACCATGAGATGGCAAGGGGTCTTCTGCATGGGATTGTGAGGAGTCAGGGATTCTGAACTGATTAGTTAAATTTGCTTTATAAAAAGTTTTTAAAGTTGCTTTTGATAGCTACACAGATGAATAACTGTCTTAAATATTTTACTGAACAATACTCAAGTTCTGCTTGAGGATGTTTGCATTGATTCTGAAGAAGTTTTAAAGTTTTATTTGCATAGTTTTAGTTCACACACTTTTCTGCATCATGAAGTGTTGAGTACACAAATTTAGAGTTTCTGTGAAAGCAAAGCTGCAGTAACTGTGTCCATATGTTTATATGAGGGCAACAGTAATAAAACTTTCTTATTAAAATAGCCTTTTTTTAAAATGGTTACTTTTCATGCAAGTAAAGCCTAATGATTTTATTTTGATCAAATGAATTAACACATTCCTGTGCACTGAGGCTTTGTTGTGAAAAAATTAACTTTGGAGTGCAGCTTACAGTGTGATAGATGTGCTTCTGTAACTCAAATTTCTTCATGTCTACAAATAAATATAAAAAAACCCCAAACAAAACCTTTAAGGAAGAAGCCTTAGGATTTTTCTGAAAAAAGGGAAGATGTTTGCTTATTAGCTATGCACTTCTCTGCTTCCTTTTAGTTTGTGGGGTATTGTTGCCCTACACATAGAATAAGTATAAATTAGCCAGGTAAAGCTAAAATAAAATAGGATGTTTCTACTGAGCATCTGAGGCAGGACATGTTCAAGAGATAGGACATGTTTGAGGTGCTCCACAGGTAATGTATAATTTGAGGAGCATCATCTAATGGCCCAAGACTCCTGAAGCCTAGTGACAAGGACTTGTACATCACAACTCTTCTGTTGCTCTTCCTTCTTGCTCCCCTACTTCTTTTTCTTCCCCACCCCCCCATCCCTTCAATAATGGCTGTTTAGTGTTGTCCAAGTAGGTCTTGAAGCAACGTTTTAAAAGGAAATGGGTATCTCCTAAAATACAATAAATCTGTTAATTGACAGCTATTAGTCCTTCTTTCCATGGCAACTATTATGCTATATGTATCTTGATGTAGGAATAAGGATTAAAATTAATTCAAAGAACATCAGTTGCTGCTGTATCCCTTTCAGAAGATAAATTGTATTTCATGTGACTGAGAATTCTTGCTATTACTGCAAGTATGTTAGTTCTGTGTATTAAGAAAACAAACTGGCAAATGGCCTCTAAATGATTTGGTTTCATCCCATTTATTTTTAATGGGGAAAGAAGCAGGCAGCCAGTCTGAATTTGTCACAAGAAGTGATGTTTCATGAGAATTTGTTGTGGAATAAAAGACTGCAACCTTGCAATAGTTTCTAGTGAAAGATTATTCAATTATCCTATAGTTTATAGAAGCAACAAAAGACCAGGACAAGAGGCCTATCACCTATGTAAGTAGATGCAAGTTACACTGAGCCTTTGATAAGTGGCTTATGGAAGAGTTTATCTGTAGCTTGCTTGTGGAGTTTCCTCAGTGAAAGATATCTGGCAAATGGAGATTTGAAGAATTAATACTAAATCGCTGGTATTTCTCCAATGCTAAAAGGAGGTCTGAATGGCCAGCAGAGTTCACAGTGTTTAAGTCATCCTTTTGTAAAAGCTGTAACAAATGTTCTTTTGTTATAGTAGTAGTTGAAATGCTAAAATGAATATTGACTCTCCTCTATGAAGTTCAGTAGGGGTACTTGTGAGTTTAAAGGAGTTTCTCTGATCAGTGAGGAAGTTGCTGTGTATGGAGGTGGCTGCACATGTCCTTGACATGTTCCATACCTGCTTCTAAATGCAGCTGTGGCAAGCCTAAGCTAAAGCAGTAACTACTCTGTACCTGAAAGTTGTTATTCCTCCTGCTTGAGGCAGGCAGCTCACTTTTATAATTTGCACAAACACACTAGAGGTTATGTGCTCTGGGAATGATTGAGGTAATCAATAAAGTATTTTGCAGATGTCTTTTGGAAAATAATTTGTTTAAAAATCTCACATTTCTTGCTTCTCAGTATTACACTTGGAAAAAAGTCTACAAGAAATTATAGGGAAAAAGTAGATTTGCTTTTGCTACTACTATGTTGATTTTGATGTAATTTTTTTAGTCTGTTTTGATCTGTCACATGAATTTCTCCTGAAGTGGGAACTTGATTTTCTGTGTTCTTTTTAACTCCATTTACAACAGTTCTAGAAAGAAGACAACTCTTCTTTAAGTGATATTTATGACTGCCTAGTCTTGAGTGGTGTGTGTACAACGCTCTTGCCTAGAAGTGGTAGAAATGTTCTTTCAGTGATGCATAAATCTGTGTTCCTTACATGTTCACCTCTGATTCAAGTGTTGTAGAGCAGGAGGTTGTGGATGATGGTCTTAGGCTGTCCTCACTAACACTGGTGTGACTCAGCTACACATGAAGTTGTTAATGTCTTATGGTGCAACTTCATGTCAGCATGCTAATTTGTAATTCAAATAAAGCCTTTTGTGCATGTGTTGGAGGTCTGAAACTTAATGGGAAATAGGAAAATTCCTGGTTTAACCTCTGTTACAGCAGGTGCTAAGACAAAATTTCTTCTTCTGTTGTCCTGAAAGTAAGGCATACATTCTGCATCAAGTTAAACATTAAAAGCTGCTCTTCATGTAATCACAGAAAAATGAGCTGTCAGTGATTCAGTAACATGTTTTTTATATCCCCTCTTGTGTTGAAATGGGTCGGTTTCAGTGTGTATTTGTCTTTTGCAGGAAGAATCCCATTCACTTCCAGCAGTTCAGTCATCCTAATGATGATGACTATCACAACACGGAGATGGTGGCTCAGGATGACGATGACAGCCGGCCCGAGTGTCCATATGGAACAGCTTGTTATAGGTGAGAAACACGTGCCAAGTGGCTCTTCTTGTTGACAGGTTAAGAATGTTCTCCCCTGCAACTGCAGAAGGACAGTAAAATAATGACTAATCCTTGATGTTTACTTTGGCTGTAGCCTTCCAAAATTTACTGAGGTCAGACTGCTACCCTTAAAGCACCCAAGTCTGTACGTATTTTTAACATTAACACAGTAAAAATCACTATTTTGGTAATCATGTCAGCTGTCAGAGATGAAAACTTGACTTCAAAGAGCCTATTCAATGACCTGGAGATCAACACTGTATCTCTTTTCAACATTCAGTAAATTGTTCTTTTATATAAGCAGTTTATTGGTACATGTTGTTCTTGATCTGTAACTTTTAGTTTAAATTTTCCTAATGTATTTGTTGTGATTTTGTAAAAAAACTATTTTAGTCAGTACTTGACTTAAAGCATAATTGAGGTAACAGCAATAAAATATAGTTTGTGGCTGACTGCTGTTTCTTTTAAGCACTGTTGATTTTCTTCAAAATATTGTTGTATTCCATTGTTTTTCAGTATCTAGGTTTTACATATTTAGCAGACTGAGTAATTATCACAATGGACAAGAAGGTATATTTTGAGGTAATAGCATTTTTATGGGAGCATATTGAAACTGGTGGCTTCTGTTAAAGATTGTTTCTGCACAGAAACATTTTGTCCTGGAAAGTGTGGTTGTCCTAAAAAGCATGGTCTCCATGAAATGCAACAAAATGAGGACAGCTCTTAGGAAAAAGCCTTGGTGATACTCAGCTAATGCAGAAAAAGTGGTCCTCTTAAAAACACCTATGAGATGAATTTTCCTTCTCAGGCTGAGCGTTACAGACTTACATCTGTATTGAAGTTGCCAACATGCTTCTCAGGAGTACAATGGATCTAAACCCCAAACTGGCTCTCCTTCCAGATGAGACAACCTCTGTGTTGCATTAGTTGGTAATTTCTTAATCTGTGTTTCATTCTTTGGAGATAGAGGAAAGGAGGTACCCATGAAAAATTAATAATTCTTTTGATGAAGCAACAGATATAATTAGAAGGGATTTTGTGTTAATTTTGTTGTCCTTATCTGTTGGCTATTAACTGACTGATCTAAATGCTGTGCCTTGAAAATTATCCATAAAATACCAGGGAATTCTGCACTTTTTAAATGTGGAACAAGGTGATGGAATCAAGCTTTTACTGTTTTCTTCTTTGCAGGAAGAACCCCCAGCACAAGCTAGAATACAAGCACAGTGCACCTCCAGGTGAGCCAACTTGTTCAATATTACAGAATCACAGAAAATTCTGAATTGGAAGGGACCCACAAGGACTATCAAGTCCATGTCAGTAAAATGCTTTAATCTCCCTTTAGGGAATAAAGTTGCATTTATAGCTCCCTCTGTATTAGGATTATTTTTTTTCTGGGTTTTTTTTTTAAATCAGAAATTCTCAGGTAAGATAAAATTTTAAAGTATTCTGATGCTCTAAACAAAAGACTGCAACCATATCTGTCATCTTTTTTTGTTGGTTTTTTTTGCCAGTGATTTTCTTACTGTGAGAACTAATTCTTGCATATATGTTCTCTTGAGGCCTGGAGGGAATATAACTAAAACTGAATTTGAGTTCCTAATCTAACACTTTGTAGTCTTTTTATATTCTAGTAACTTGATTTGGTGAAAAAACATAGGGGAATGTGCTGTTTACATTTTGTCTGCTCTTAAAGATACTTCTTGGTTTTATTTTTTTGGGGTGCTTTCTCTTGATTATTGGATTGGAGTTTTTCCACCTGAAATCCCAATGTGATAAACAGTAGTTTAGCGCAGAACACTTAGGAATATGTCAGGATAATGCATTTTACTTTGAAGATTCAGGGCTATGACATTATTAAGAATAAATAGCATTTATGGAAACAGTAATGTAAAATATTTAAATGCCCTAATATATTCCATTTTCCTGCTTAAAAACCCACAGTCAGAATTGATGGCATTTGTCTACAGATGGCAGGGGTAATAATTTTAAGAACAGTTTATCTGGGTAATCTCTTGGGAATGATTCAAGACAAAACCGGTATTTTTGGGGCATTAGAGTAGCTTTTATACCTGTAAGTAGAGCACAACCATTTCAGCATTTGTTTAATTGGTCAGTTTCCTGTTGTAGCAGTTTTAAGAATAACCCTTATGGCAGGGTTCCCTCTGTCCTGACTGACAACTTCCCTTTCTTTAGTAGCTGGAAGAGGAACACGGCAACGAGCTTCAAGCAATGGTGAGTGTATTCTGTAGTTGTGAGTGGGCACAGCAGCCTGGGACACAGTTGGTCTGCTCTGGCTCTTTCAGCATTTAATAGTGCTGGAGATGCTTGATAATACTTAGCTGAGGGGAAAGTAGTCATTATTTTAGTAAAATCTTTCTTGTTTTCTTACAAGTAATAGTCCTTCAGTTGCATTTGTGCCAGTCTTCCTGGATAATCACACCTGTATTTTCCTAGAAGCAGACAAGAAAACAAACATATTTTAAGGAGAGACACATATGGCTAAATGGTGTCTTCCATCTTCACTTCTTACACAGCAGCCATAATAGGATGAAAGGAATCCAGTATTTCATGCACAGCTAGTTAAGGTTGCCTTGTAAGGAGTGATTGCTCCTGCAGCATGGAGATACTCACTCTGACCTTTAAATAACTCCTGGGTGATAATCTGTGTGCATGTGCTGATGAACTTGCTTACTCTTACAGTAAGGTATTGATGTGTCAGGGTTGTTAGGATCAAAGTATAGAAGTTTCTGTATGTTGGGGGTACATAGACTCAAGTTTTAAACATGCTGTCTTGGTTTGAAAAGACAGATTTCTTCTAAGGAAGGCAGGAGCCTCCCTTGAAATGGAAAATATAAATCCTCTCTCTCCGAAATACTATAATTTTGAAATTAAAAGGCTATCAGGCAAAGACATGGGCATAGGAATAACAGATCTTTACTGGGAAAATTAAAAATACAAATGTAGTAGTACAAACAAAGCAAAAACCACTGACAGAGTCAGAACACAACCTGACACCCTGTTGGTCAGGGTGTTGGTAGCAGTCCAGTTGGATGGTGGCTGCAGTCCTCCTGCAGTTACAGCTGTGGTTCTGTTGGAGCAGTGATCCTGTAGAAGGATCACCTTCTTCTGAAGGCCCAGTGATGGTGTAGATGGGCCTGGTCTTCTTCTGGGAATCCAGTGGAGAAAAGGCTGCTTCTCTAGGAATCCAGTGGGAAAAGACTGCCTGTGGTGTTCCAAATCTCTGATTATATCCAGGTAGGAACGCTTGGCTCCTCCTCCTGGGTGGAGCTTCTTGCAATGGGATTATGTCATTTTATCAGTCATGCAGTGAGACTCAGTGACCCATTAACAGAAGATATTTCCCAGAGAGAGGATTGGTTGTGGAACAGATAAAAAAACTTCCCAATTAACAGAAGATAACCGCCCCACCTCTAACAGATAGGAATAGAATACCCACATACCTTACAACCCGGGATACATGCTTAGGTCTGCTTCCAGGATTCTTTTGTGTCTTGTCTTCCAAATGTGAAGCTTCCTATGCTTTCTGAAATTAAGTGAGCTTTAAAGAGCAGTCTGAAAGTCTCATGCTGTGCAGTCTTCACTTTCAGTGGCCAGAGTAAGGCAGGAGGATGTAGAACTGTTGCATTTTGAGTGGGAGTGGGAACTGGCTTGCCTTCTTCGAGATCACCAAAGAGTGGCTGGGAATTTCCTAAAGAAATCTTAAAAATAGATCTGCTTTCTACAGAAAGTAAATAAAAGTGCAAACAGTTGTAGGTAGCTTTCTAGGCAAAGTGTTTTGGCCTCTCTTTCTCTTCTGGGTGAATGCAGGAGGTTGTTTTAAACTTTCCACTGAGAAATTTCTTTGTCATACTGTTTTCTTATCAACTTTGTGTGCACTTTGGCTATCACCAAATACTTGCTGTGCACCAGCATATTCTGAGGCATGTTTGTTACCTGTGAGCTTTAGTGCATCCTGTGATACAAGTACCATCCCCATCGTGATCAGAGGTCCGTGGTAGAAATTTGTGTTGCAGAGTGTTGAGGCATGTACTGAGTGGTGAAGATTTCAGAATGAAGCAGGCTGGGCTGTGTGCCTATCTAAAAGTCCAGATCTGTTCTTGAAGGTTTTAAATTGCATCTGTGCCTCTCATAAGAGCATGTTCCTTACCCAAATAGTAGGGTGCACCCTGCCCCCCTGAGTGTGCAGCTGATGGTCAGGCAGGGGTGACTCTGAAGGAAGAAGGGCTGCTCTTCTAGCATGTAAAACTTGCACACAGAAGTGAAATTCAGTCTGTCAAATTCAACTTCTCTTACTAAGAACGAACTGTGGAAGAATTGATGTTCTGCACGCACAGGAAAGAAGGGAATTAATTTATTAAGTTCTGTTTATATTTACTGTTTTAAAAAAATGTAATGTTTTGTTGACTGGTTTACTTAGCTCTGTGGAGGGCAAAGCTTATTAAAGGTGGTGCTCAGCAAGTTCACACCAGAGGCCATCATACCACATCCTGCAGGGTCAAAAAAACAGTAAGAACTCCATTAACCTTTATTTTGTCATATTTGGCACAGCTGCACCGTTAGACACAGCAGGATTAAATTCCCTACAAATGTATTTAAATTCCACCAGCCAAGAAAAGAGGGGAGCCCCCACATGACAGTTAACATGTTTAGCTTTTAAGTCTAATTGCTGCCAGAATTGCCTGTAGAGAATGTTCTGAAAAATGATCCGAAGAAAATTACTGGGGAATAATTGTAGGGAAGGAATTGAAAAAAAGTCAGAGTTCTGCTGTTGTTAACTTGTAACTACTGAATGACTTCTCTAGGTTGTTGCTGCTGAGATGAATAACACCCTGTAGCCATGGAATATGCAGGATTCTCCTACATACTTTTGTGTAGGTTTTCTAGCAAGTTGATAAGCTCACTTCAAAATAGAATGCTTTGGAAGGAGCAGTCAGCAAGCTTTTTTTTCCCCACATCAAGAAGATACTTCCGTAGAAAGTTTCAAGGTCATCTTTATAGGTAGGCTAATAGAGAAAAGGCAGAACTGAGCTTAATCATCAGCTTTAGGGGCTGCAGGGCTGAATTAAACTACAGTGGAAAGAATTGGAGAGGAAAGGCATAAAAGGAAGTGTTTCACTCACTGCTAAAATAAAAGTGTTGATATATGGGGAGGGAGAACATAGTATGCACTTCTTACATTTGTAAGAAGAATATTAAAGGTATCAGTATTTTGCCAGCATTTCTACTTCTGTTGTAAAATGCCACTCACAGTGCTGTGAAACTGGCAAAGGGCTTTCCTTTGATAAGGAGCTCTTGGGCATATTATTCTCATAACCTTAGTCTGAGAAGGGGGATTTCTTTCTTATTTTATTCAGCATTTTCATTTTGACCCCTCCCCTCCAAGATATACTTAATTCTGCAAGGACTATAGTCTGTGATTCTGCTAAGAAATTCTGCTGGTCATGGGCTAACACAGTGTCCTGGTTTGAGACAAATTGGGAGGAAACATCCTGAAATGAACTTGCCCTCCCAGTTATGGCATGATTAATTTCCTCTGAAGTCTGTTAAACAACAAGCCAGCAAGCATAAAAAGGAAGGTAATTCTGGAACAGGAGCATTCCCACTACAGAAAAGTGTTACTGAAAGAGACTGTGAGGTACTGGTGGTGGTGTTTGTGTCTGGAGCTCTGACCTGAGGTTTCAAGAGTTTGCTGAGAGTTGTTTATGGGTAATTTAAAGAGTTAGGATTTGGGCTGTGGTCTGTAGCTAAAGAAAAAAACCCATATTCGTAGTTTCATATGAAAGCTGGTGACAACTGCTCAACAGATAAATTAGCTAGACCGATATCATTGCGTGGTTATTTCTAGATAAGGTAAGAATGGAAAACTGGGAGGGTGGGAGGCAGAGGAATGAACATGATTTTACTCGGAGATGTGACTTAAGGATAGAATAAGACATAATTGGAATATTAACAGACCATGGCTAGTTATTTAACAGAAGAGGTGTCACAGATGCATTTCTGAAGGAAATGACTTTCAGAAGGGAAACACAGACTATCCAGCATGAAGGCAAGTGGAGAACATAGGAGGTGAGTGATCTAGAAGATTTTCTTCTCTCATGTGAAGCTGTTAGCTTCCAAAGACTAAGAATATAAAGGATGGATGGATGGATGGATGGATGGATGGATGGATGGATGGATGGATGGAGGCAGAAAATCTAGGGTCAGAGTAGCCACCTAGCAATAGAGGCTTAACTGGAAGATAGATGTACTGTTTAGGTGATTCTTTCTTGTGAGGAGAGACACTTTACTATGTGGACTCCGGGAGAGATCTTGTACTCTATATTTATTAGTTATGAATACATGACATTTTTGTCCCTACAGGAAAAAGGGCTGTGAAGAAGGATGGTGTCAATGATGGTGAAGCCAACGACTGTGACCTCAATGACCGTTTTACAGATGAGGAGGAGGAGGAGTGTGAACCTACTGATGAAGACTCGGACTGGGAACCAAGTTCAGAAGAAAAGGATAACGAAGATGTTGACACACTTGTGCAAGAAACACGTAGATTTGTTAGGATCAAAAAATAGCTGCTGAGAACAGCCTTATAGATGTCCAGTGTGGTTGAGTTAAAACATGGTTGTACAAAGGAGAGGAATTGTTTGAAATTTTTTTTGTCCATGATGTAGGCAGTACAGGAAGATAATAATTGGGTGAGAGGATTCTGCAATGCCTTTCTTATCCATGTGTATTATTTGGGGTTTTGGGGCTGGTGTGGTGTTTATTTTATTAAGTTGTGGACCCAGAGGATAAAGCTCTGAAAATTTTCAGTTTTTTCTCTCTTTTTGTTTTTTTGCAATGCCACTGGTATCTTGTATTTTGAAATACAGTTCTAAAGGTTGTTAAAACTTCATCTTCCTGTGCTTGAAAGAAATATTGGTAGGAAAGCCTAAGCCATTTTTATTGTTGAGTTAGTGCACTTTTAAAACTTCATTATTCTGCTTCCATCTTTCCCAGGTGTTGTTTTCTTGGTTCTCTTGAAGTACAGTAGTCAAATACAGGTTTTCTAAATCACTTGAGAACAGGATCTCAATGTATTGATTGGCTCAACAACAAGTGTTATTTGCTCTAATTACAACAGTACCTCTTTCTGTGTACATCACTAAACTGTTTCCAATTCTCAGCATAGTCTTGATGGCTGCATTTTTGCACATTTAAACTTGTAACATACAGTGGGAAAAGCATGTAACTGATTTCTAAAGACATTGTTGGAAGATCTTGCCTTCAGTTTGTTCACCCCTCTGAGCTTCCTGGAAAGTAAGTGAAAAGGTTTTACTATATTTTGGGACAGATGACTGGAGCCCTGTGAATTTGGCACCTTTTTTGGTCAAAGTCCTGAAGTTCAGCAGGAGGAGCATTCTAGTATGGCTTCAAGTAGACATCCAAATGCACACCAGCTGGTTTTATGGACTTTTCAGGAGGACTTTGTGGATGTGCCCTCTACAGCTCCAATGCCCTGGTTTTTGACTGAGCTTTTGTGCTTGTCTTGTTATGAAGCGGCTCCTCTTACAGGAAAAACTGCCAAGGGGGAATCAAACCAAGCATTGCCTGGGCCTTGCCACTGCTGCGTTGAGCTGTGTGCAGGTTCAGCTCTCAGCAGCCCTGAGATCTGCTCCCATCATGCTGGGGCCATCTTGGTCAGGGAAGTTTCCCTGTGAAGGAAGCTGCTGCTGGCCTCAGGGGAAGCTGCCTTCATGGCCAGGAGGCAGGAGAGCACAGACCTGGCTTGAGCTGGCCTGTGTCACAGAGGAACTGTCTCAGTCCTGCCCAGGAGGCACCTCCACAAGCAGGTGCATGCAGCTGCCACAGGCTGGAACGGTGCTCTCTGGAGGAAGAGGAGGAGGGGGAGCCAGCCTCCTGCTGAGGTGTTGGCAGAAGGACAACCTGCTTTCCTCTGGGGCACAGGAGAGGTGTGCTCCAGGTTGTGGGATGCAAGATGGAGCTGTGCAGCCTCAGGTCCCAGCAGTTCAGAGGCTGGGCACTGGGGATGGACCTTGTGGACCTCAGCTGCTGCCCATTTCTACCTCGAAAAACCACATTACGCACACCCCCTTGGCGCTTCAAAACTTCCATTCTTGGAGGGTCATCTTGTTCCTTACAGATTCTGCTGAAAGGGGAAGCATTCTTTTTGACAGATTTCTCAGGTAAAAATAAAGCGACAATGTGGCAATATTATATCTGAGAACTGTTGGTAAGGAAAGGGTATGGACCCAGCTAGAGGGGGATAGAAAAGAGAGGAGAGAGGGAGAAAGAGAGATTGAGGGAGAAATAGAAGACAGGGACAGCATTACTGTCGGTACACAGGGTCATCCCACCATAAAGACATAAACTTCTGACATCGTGGATTAATTTTCCTGACACCTCTATTTTCTGCCTCCTTATCACATGGTCCATGTTAAGGCTTCCAAGCCCCTGTATTAATTTTTCACCCTGTGTGTAACATATGTTGAGACATAAAGAAAAGTCAAGATTGGTTCCTTTCAGGTCCCCTCCCCTCTGCCAAAAGAGAGGGCATTCCCACAAGGTGAATTCACTCAGTAGGGTGAAGAGATTCCTGTCTGCCTCTTAGGTACAGTGCCATGTCAGGGCCCTGTGGTGGCATCTGGCATTGGGGAAAAGATGCCATGGGATTTGTGCTGCCTGTGTGTCTCTTGTTTGTTGGGCACACAGGGAAGGTGAGGGGAGAGTGACCAGAGAAGCACAGATGCAGATCCTGAGTGAAACAGGAGCACTCCAGGGCATTTGAAGGGGCCACCTTGTATCTTGGCCACAGTGGGCCTAGTGTGAGTTGCAGGTTTCTTCAAAGGCTGAGAAGTGGGTTGTGTGTTACAGTGTGTAGTGTACCATGTGATATTTACTGTATTTTATTGTTAGGAAAATTAATTGCCAATGCCTGAGGTTTATGTCCTAAAAGGAGACAGAGGAGTCCTGCAACAAATAAAGGGAGAGGCCATGGAATATTTCCCATGAGGTCTCTCAGATTGCTGGAGGATGCAACCTCCTCTTTATCCTCATTTCCCTGCTTCATTTTCCTCTCCCCCTTGGCTGAGGTATTTGAGAAGTACAGACTTCCTGAACAGCCTAATACAGAACCCCTTCTAATGTGCACCCCCCTACCCCCTTCCCCCATTTTTCTTTGTATTGCTGTTCTTTTTCTCCAAGTCCAGGAATTTAGAATGATCTTGGATGAGCAACAGTCTGTGTCAATTAGTGGGATTCCTGTGGAATTTGCTTCTTTCACCTATTTATCTGCAAGCAGACCCACTGTTTGTAAAGACACATCCCTCTCATTTCTTTCATTATGGTGCTAGATGTGTTGTGTGCTGTCATTCATGTTTAGTGTAATTTACGTATTTTGAATGTATTGCAGAGTATGTACTGCATTATATCATGGTTTCTTGTGTAGCTAAATCTCTCAGAAACCCTTTAGCCTGCAGCCCCACAGGAGTCCTTCTCCTTGTTGAGCCTCAGGATCCCTTTGCCATGAGGCTAAGCTCTTTTTGGAATCTTATATTGAATTCTATTGGATTCCTTCATCGCACTGCTGCCTAACTCTTACTGGAGTTGCTAATCACAGCCTCACAGAGGAGTCCTTGACTGCATATTGCTTATTGACTCTTCCAGTTTCCTTCTCCTCCTGGTATTTTTTGGAGAGTGTCACCACATGGCCCTGGAGGAGTTCTTTGCACCTTTTTGGTGTTTTTTAGAGTGTTTTCCCATTTGGCTTTTTCAGAAGCTCTGCCTTTCAGGGGTGTTTCACCCTGTGTTTTTTTTCTTCATTTCTGCAGTGCCTGCCATATACTGGAGCACTTTACAGAGCCATCCTGGAGCAGTATGTCACCCCATGTGCTTTCAGAGTGCTGTGCACCCAGATCCTGTTTCTTCCAGTGATTGCTTTCCATGTGTTACCTTCCACATTTTTTCTTCTGCAATCAGCAGATGAGCAGGTAGAGTTTTCATGCAGTTTTGACATTCCTTTTTAGCTCAGGGATGCCTTTCTCCAGGAAGTGTTACCATCTTAGTGTTTTCTGTCACTTAGTCTTGGTTTTGAAGAAGCAACTTCAAAACTTGGTTTTGAAGAAGCTCAGCAATGTTTCTTACTATCCATGATTATTTGGTGACTTTTATACTGGGTTTTTTTCCACGTTCTTTTGTTCTGGCTGGGGTCATGAAGGTCACTTTTAAAGCTACAGGAATTCCTGCCTTGTCAGTGGTTTTGAGGAACAACTGAGGGAGCTGGGTCTGTTTGGCCTGGAGAAAATGGGGCTCAGGGGTGATGTTATCAGTCCCTACAACTACCTGAAAGGAGGTTGTAGCCAGGTGGGGGTTAGTCTCTTCTCCCAGGAAACAGGACAAGAGCACATAGTCTTAAACTGCACCAGAGGAGGTTCTGGTTGGACTTTAGGAGGAATTTCCTTCACAGGAAGGGTTAGACATTAGAATGGAGGTGGTGGAGTCACTGTGTCTGGAGGTGTTTTGGAAAGACTGGCACTCAGTGCCATGGTCTATTTGATATGGTGGTGTTTGGCCAAAGGCTGGACTCAGGGATCTCAGAGGTCTTTTCCAACAGAATTGAGTTAGGGCTTATCCTGGCAAAGCCTATAGGACAGGATCATAACCGAGCGTATGAGAGAGCAAGATCTCCATGAGTCTGAGGGACAAGTGTCTATCTTGCCTCAACTCTCATTTTTTCTGCTCAATGGTGTGTGTTTTTCTGCACAAGCGGTACGGAGTATTTAGAAAGGGAACAGCCCAAACACCCAGCATCTGTCACAGCCCTGCCAATAGAGGGAGAGAGAGAATGCAGACACTACAAGCCTGGGTATGCAGCTGTCAAAAGCTGAAGTATCTGTTGCTACTTGGAATCATAGTAATCTTGGGAATACCTGCTTGACGCCATTCCCACGGTGTTTGTTGTGAGCTGATGCAGTTTGTGGTGACGCTGCAGAGGCAGCAGCTGGAGGGTGCTGTTGCCACGGAAAAGGCTCAAAGAAGAAGGATCACAGCAAAGTCTTAGCTCCTGAATGAGTCAGTCAGTCTCAAGGGAAATTTTCTGTGCTGGCTACTTTGATGTACGCTGGCCTGGGATCTTACAGGTCGTCCCCCTTTTGCAGAGGGACTTTTGCTTTAATGACACAGCCTTTGTTTTCTCAGTGCCTGTTGCTGAGAATAGCTGCTTTTTCTTCTCCTAATGCTCTCTTAGGCATTTCAGGTTACCATTTTAGCTTCCAGGTGCACCCAGGTTTATGTTTTTCACCGTGAAGGAGCAGAGATTGGATTTTACTCTCAAGTTATCCCTGGAGAAGCTGCTGTAGAAGGAAGTGAGGCTATGGAGCTGTGCTGCAGGAGGACAGCTGAGCAGTGATCTGGTGTGGTAGCACCACAGTTGTGCATTTGGCAGCAAAAATTGGAGCTAGCCACAACCGAGACGTGGTAGCATCTGGTTGATCCACTGCATGGTGATCTAAACACTGCCAAAGGATCTCTGGTCCCACCCACTCCTCATCCATGACACATGGCACAATTCTTGCATGATGGAGCCCTTACTGCACATGTTTTCCTAGAGCTTACAGTAGGCAGCTTCCAGCAGGCAGGAGTTGTGCTGGAAAGGCACATCTTTCTCCTCTGAGACAGGTGCTGCCTTCTTCCCAGCTTGTGCTTGTCTTTCTCTGTTTACAAGCAGAGCTCCAGGTAGGTGCAGTCCATAATCAATTCCCTCTCTAAATGTTGTCCTTTAGTAAGTTGTGAGGGTACAAAAAAGCCTTATTGTTCTTTTCTTCCCTGCACAGCTCATGTAAGCCCTAGGGAATGCGGGGTCTGGTCCTTCAGACCCTTCCCTCCTGCTCCCCCCTGCCTGAGGTAGCCACTTTGGTCATGGCCTGTTCCCACTCCCTGCACACTTCAGGAGTATTCACAGTAGTTTTTAAGTGACTTTTGGTTCCCATGCAAAGCCCTGGGCCTCTGCTTGCTGGAGCTCAGTTTATGTCTCTGAAAGTGCCCTGTTTTGGGCTGTTTGGAGTCGGTGCCGACACAGGCTAAGGGTAATGTGACTGCTTCGTGCTTGGATCAGGGAACAGAGCTGTCGCCCTTCCTCAGTGGGAGTCACCCTTTCTCTGTGGATGCAGCTCACAACAAATGCAGTTGAGGGCAAAGCATGACTTCTCCTGCCCTATCCAGAGGTTCAGGCAGCAACACTGCTTTGTTGCTTGGAGGATCTCAAAACGTCAAAAATACAGCAGTCCCAAAACCTAAACCCTCAGCAGGGGCTGTGAAGGATGCTGCTGTAATACCCTTGGCAGGCACAGGGATGAGAACAGTGGTTAGGCCAGACCACAAGAGCTCTCTTGGACTCTTAGAGGTGATTTCCAGAGTTTTAATGCAATTCTTTGTCCCAGATTTTGTTCAGTACTACATTTCTTGGCAGAAATTGTTTTTTTTTATTAACTCGGCCTTAGATGGATTACCCTAGTGTGGAAATTGTTAGTTGACTTGGTTGCACCAAAACCATGTAGGGAAAACAGGTGGAAGGAGTATCACACACTCTAATAACAGGCAGTAATGCTAGCTAAGCCCTTACAACTAAGGCAGGTTTCAGAAGGAACCATGAGATTTCAGGTGAGATTACAAGATTAAGCCTTTTGATAGTGAAATACTTCAGCTCTCTGGTCCTTTAAATTTCTGTGGCAGGCTGGAAAACAAATGGATTTAGTACTTACCCCTGTTCAAAACTGACATTTTGAAGGATGATTTCAGTCTTTGTTTTGCCTAACAGCAAATGATGAAATACTCTTCAACATATATTTAAGAGCAGCTAATGATGAGAGGCTTTGAGAATTTGAATGGATTTGAATATCCTTTTGCCCTTAAATTTAATTGGTCAATTTTTCTTCAGCAGCAATGGGATCATTCACATTACTCAGTTGGATAAGAAAGTGATGGCTAAGAGAAAAAGACAAAAAAATAATTCAGAATGCTTATACTGAGGCCATGTTTTATTTGCAGGGTTTGCTGCTCACTTTAAATTCACAAATAGGCAAGTTATTTACCAAAACAATTTACTCCAAAAGTAGGCACAACCACATACTTTAAAACAGGAAGCATTTGTCATCACAACAGAAAAGATTTTATTTCCATACACAGAATTCCATGATATCATACATGTAGTTGAAATGAGTAGGTATTACTGTTACTGCCACCTGCTTTGTCACAATTACCAATTAAGAAACATCCAAACTGGAGTTGCACTAAATCAGAAGAGTAAAAGAAGCACTGTGGAAGGAAAAGCAGAATTCATCTGGAGTTGTTGTGTCATACCTGAGCAGACAATCAGCTTCTCAACTCAACCAGAGGCTGGCTCGCTGAAGCCTAAGCCTGTCCTGCTCCCAGAAAGATGGATGGATCATCTTCGGATCCTTTGTATTTTGGCGTTTGTTATCCTTTATCGTGAAGGTGCACACAGACTTAGTAAGATGTCTGGTTGGATTTTTCCCACCACCATGCTGTAGGTTTATATGGATCCCACTGATAAGGTAAAACACATGAAACTCCATCTGAACACAAGAAAACACTTTTTCAGTGAGTAAGAGCTGTTGAACACTGACACTGGTGATCCAGGGAGACTGTCAGCATTCCCTGGAGTCAGTCAAAGCCTAGCTGGACACAATCCTGGCTAATGTGTGCGGAGGGATAGGCTAGACAATGTGGAGATGTTATTCCCAAGTTCTACAGTTTTGTGATTGATTCTGCGAGGAGCTCAGCATCTCAAGGCAGCAGAAGCTAGCCACAGGGTGCCTGGAGGTGAGGGAGTAGATCCTATTCATATGTATCTGTGGCATTTCCAAATACATAACAGAGTTAACACTCTCCATAAAACTAAAGAGTGGAATATTGATAAAGCATTCTTAAACAAGGTGTAACAGGAAGAGACTTGAGGTTTTCACTTGACTGTGGAGCAGATTTTAGCTTTCAGAGCATGTGCCTTTCATAAAAACATGCTGGGCATATTGTCCAATGACAATAGAAAGCTGGTGGTCTCTAGACTTTAAGAAGCTTCATTAGGAGGGGTAAACTGAGAGGTTAGAGAGTAACAGGAAGCAACATGGGCTTTTTTGGCATCCTTTCTCTTCTGAGCAGAAAGAAAAGGACACCAAATAGCTTAGAGGTACAAGTCATAAGCTCAAAGGTGTTAAGAGGTTTCTCTTAAGAAACAAAGAAGCATCACTGCCAGGGTCAGCACTCAACTTTTCCATCATTGTAGTTCACTCTATTGCATTCATAAACTTCTTTGTTCTTATTAAACAACTATAAAATTAGTGTCTACATCCCAAATTGACAGATGTATGAACTGAAGCACAGCATCTGTTCAAGCTTAAGGATTATCCAGCAGTCCAGTGAGAAGAGTTCTGGTGGGAATGAAAAGTAGGCTGCTTTTTTGAGGGCTCTCACCAGTGGTGGGTATTCCTACAGACAAGGAAGAAGCTTCTGAGAAGGTATTATTTCCTATATCCCCTCTCCAAAAAAGGTGAGATTAGAAAATCAGAAAATTTATTGTAGTTTTATGCAGTCTACTTCCTCTGTGACTGGCATTGCACTTGTTCTCAGGTCCAAATCTGTGCTAGATTTGCTTCCCTTATACGTTGACCTCCATCTGAGCAGCATGATCTTCTTGAAGTACTTCATGGTGTTGTTTTTCACCGTTACGAAGCACATGGTGTTTATCATGCTGTTACTCATGGCGATGCACCTGACTATGTAAAAGGCAGTAAGATAATGCTTCTCTTTCACCAAGAGGGTGGGGAAGAAGTCCCGGACAATTGTGAAACCATAAAAAGGTGCCCAGCAGAGAACATAGGCAATCAGAATGCACATTAGTACCATTACAGTTTTCCTTCTGCACTGAAGCTTCTTTCTGATTTGTTTCGTCTGAAATCCTGGGACAGTTTTAAACCAAAGCTCCTGAGAGATCCTGGCGTAACACAAGGTCATTGTAATCACAGGTGCTACAAATTCAATGCCAAAGATGAAGAGAAAGTATGATTTATAGTACATCTGCTGGTCAACTGGCCAAATTTGGCCACAGAAAAATTTCTTCTGGTTTTTCACTATAAACAACACGGTTTCAGTAGCAAAGTATGCAGATGGAATAGCTACAAGTATGGAGATGACCCAGACCAAGGCAATGAGGAAGGTTGCTGTTTGATAATTCATGCGGGGTTTCAGTGGGTGAACAATGGCCAAATACCTGCAACAGAAAAATATATTCAAAACACTGTTGGTTAGAACACACTTCAAAATACATGCAAACAGAATTGCGCAGGAGGAAATTGCTGTCATTCCTGAGGGGAGAGCCTGAACATACACGTCTGCAAGGACATAATCATCTGTAAGAACATGTTGTGAAGTAGCAGCCTGGAGCTGAGTTACAATTTTGTATCACAACTTTTCCTTTTAAACAGGAGCAAGAGTTTGAAAAATGCAGTATTACACATCTAGTCAGATCCAGGGAAGAAAACACAAACATGTTGAATCAGGAAAATGTTTTCCCTAGGCAGAGAGCTACTTAAATAGCTCTTTTTACAAAGCAGTGAAATATACATCACAGTGTTTTTCTTATTTCTGTGGTTATTCCGTGGGGTGCAAAGACCTGAAGGTGATGCTAATGTATGGTTACAGGTGAACATGATTTTAAGCCACCCACAGAATGTGTATCTATTTTCTTCCTGTGCAAATCCTTTTTGTGTGTATTCTGGAGGTGACTATTGCTTATTCGTCTTAAATATGCAGTATTAAGTAATATGGCAAAGCAGAAAACTTGAGTTAGATATTTGCACTGCTTAGGACTGTGAAGCTGCAAGGTTGTAGTATTTCTGCTTGGAGGAGATTTTTATCAGAGGTCCCAGTATAACTGTATTTAACCCAAAGTATTGTTTCAAAAAGTGGAATTTCTCATTCCTTTGGAGTATATTCCATCTATATATATTTAATACATAGAATAGCATCCATAAGATATATTTATTCTAAAGTAAAATGGAAAGTCAGCAGCACTTTGCATCAGCCAGTTCTTGGAAGCAGATAAATTGTTCATGGCTCTTAATAGTGCAGGGTAAATGTCAGGGGACAGCAAAATGAGTCAGTCTCATTGTGGAGCAGAAGGTTAACATTTTTACATCAGGTCCTGGGGAAGTAAGTTGTGGCATAATGTATGTGTATGCATTCATAAATGTGCATATCTGCTCAGCAGAACATTTGGCTGGATGGGATCAATCTGTCCAACAGAGTCCAGAGGAAGCTTTTGTGGTGGATTTCCTGATTGTCATTGCTTACCACACTTGGGCTGTTACCTTAGAGTGGTTCTGCAGTTCACAAACTGAATTCAGACGAAATTATCCTGGAAGATGTGCTCCTAAAGTGTACATAAAACACACCAAATGCCCATGGGTGTTTGGTCCAGGGGAGCCAGCTAAATATTGCAGTGCGGACATTAGAGCTTTAGACATTAGACATTAGACTACACGCTCTTCCTCTTCAGATGTTGTATTTTTCCTAGTGCAGGTGTGGCCTTAAAAATGTGAAATTCCTATTTTTTCATGTGAATAGACATGGACAAAGAAGAAAGAGAGCCTTCCCTAAAGAAAGTCCTCAGTGGGACAGACTTACTCACTTTACACAGCTGATTCCTTTTAAACAGTCTAAACATGGGAAGACTTTTGTTAGGAGCCCGTTCCTTTTAGAGACAGAAGTCAACAATCCACATGACATAACTAACATGGAGTAGGTGATTGTAAACAATGGGGTTTCTGTCTGTTTACTAAACCAATAGCTTGCAAAAAAAAGAGAAAGAAAAAAGAAAAGCCATGAAACCAAAACAGCGTGTTCTTACAACAAGCTTCAGTGATTAATCTTGTTAATCAGGCTTGTTTTTAAAGATGTGTGGGAAGATATGCTATAAATCTGATTTCTTAGCAGACATAAGGGCGCCATGACCCATTACTTCATCAGCCTGGGATGCACTGGCAGAGCTTTCCAAGAAAACCTTGTAGAAGCTGAAAAACTGATAGAAAATGGTAATGCATACATGGTAGTGTTTAGAAGCTTTACCTTGAGTCCTCATCTGCTGTTGAAAGCCTATTCTGTTAGATGCTTTTTAAGGATTTGTTTTGTAGGAGCTGATCGTCCCCTTGCCCACATCAGGGAAAACATCTCTGAACTTCTCCAGAGTCTCTTCATAGACTTCCATTCACATCTGGAACAGCTGACTCAGCCATACACAAGCTGCATCTGTACAGCCTTCAGCAGGGCTAACTACTCCTGACTTTTGCATCAGGGACTGAAAACTGCAATGCTACACTAAAGTTTGAAATGGCACATGAGAGAAATTGGGGGAAAGAAGAGGAAGAGTGGGAATCACATATGTATGTGCAAAGGGTCTACAGAGTGGTGTATTGTGTTTGTACATGAAAGAGGTCTTATGATGATGACTTTTCTGTAAAGAGTTTACTGAGCCCATCTCTGGCTTTCTGTGAGTCAGTCATGTCAGACTTATGTCAGCACCAGACTGATGCTCAGTGCCTTGGTCTGTCAGAGTCTGTGGTGCACAAGGCTGAGAGAAGAGTCCTGAGAAAGGATACAGTTAAATTAAATTGTTAAAATTCCTGGAGTAAAAGGCAGGCAATCTCTCAGGACTGCAGCACAATTGGAAAAAAATTCTTCACTGAAAGAGTGGTCAGGCATCAAAACATGCTACCCACTAATAGTTCACAAAAAATGTGGATGTGGCACTTGAGGACATGGCTTAGAACTTTGGAAGCTGTGGCTACAGCTTTGTGCAGTGGTAGCATCCTACTTACCTGTCAACAGCTATAGCCAGGAGAGCATTGGTCGAAACATAGAGGGAGACAGTTCGTAGGTAGTTGACCGAGGCACAGAGGACATGGCCGTGCTCCCAGGACAGCTGCTGCACCACGTAGTAGTCCATCTCAAAGGGGCAGCACACGATAGCCACGATGAAGTCTGAGATGGCCAGGTTGGCAATCAGCAGGTTGGTGAGGTTTCGCAGCTTCTTGTAGCGGGCGAGAGCAGCAATGAAGATGAAGTTGCCAATGCCACAGACCAGCATGATGCCAACCAGGGCAACCCCGATCACAATCTTGGCTGTGAAGAAGGTGCGGGTTTTGGTCATGTCATCTTCACTGTCCAGTGGCAGGTCATAATCACTGTAAGTTAAATTGAAAGGGAAAGAGAAGTTTCTCAAAGAGGTGAAATCCCCATCATGGATGTTGTACATTGAAGCAAAGTTGAGGTGGGTGGTAGCATTTAGGTCATGTTCAGTTTGGTCCATTGCCATGTCTGTCTTCTTTTGGCATGTGCAGCTTGGCTGGCCTTCGATGTTTTGTTAGCCCAGCGTGGCAGGGCACAAGAGTGGCAGGTGAGAGACCTCACCCAAAGCTTCCTTTTGAGCAGTGAGTAACCTTGTCTTTGTCCCCAGAAGGTTGTAGGACAACAGCCTCACTTGTCTCCTTCTGTGGGAGCAAAAAGAGGAAAATGTTACCTGAAAGGAAATGACAGCAGAAGTACTGATCTTGAAGGAAAGCAATAGCCACCTTATTGTCGCACAGATCTGTTGCTGCATGTGCACAGAAGGAAGAAATATCCTGTGAAGGGATGCTTCTGTTCTCACAAAATAAATGCTTCTAGTTGTTTCATGCACTTTGTTACAGCAGCAGTTTTATTTACCAGCAATGAAATTTTCACCAGGCAGTGAAATGACAGTCTAGGAGGAATGTAAAATCTAGTTCAAAACTCTACCAGCCCGCAAGCCCATGGTGCTGTCATCGTTGTGCAAGGTAAAAGACACTAAAATGACAACTCATTGTGCTGTAAAGCATTTGATGTGCCTTTTGGACAAAGTTTGTGCTTTATTCTGGTTGTTTCAGAGTGATGTGGTAGAGGAGAATGAAAAGAGAACTGATGTTCTTGCTTCCAAATACATTTCTTAATGAAGTAAGAGCTGCAAAAACCCAAGAAAATACTAAATCCAGCACTTTCCTTTTGGCAGCCATTAACTGAGTACAGGACAAAATTTTTATGCCAGCATAATCCATTATCACTTCTGTCAAACAGGTGAAGCTCTGCCAATTTGCAGCGACAAGAATTTTGTCCCATCAACCAACTTGTAGAGTTTAGCTGTGAAGGCAAATCTGCCATTCACAGGGAAAGTGTTTCCACAGAGAGTGAAAGGTGAAAGTGAAAATCTTCTGTAAGCAAGACAGAGTGCCTTGCATTTTTGATGCTGGGGAAGAGCAAGCTTCCCTCTTTGTACTGCCAATTGTACTAAAAAAAAAAAAAAAAAAAAATTCCCACACATAGGGAAAAAACCCCATTTAATCTACTCCTTATTTTTGCCTCTCTGTATCAAAATGCTGAGAGGGCATCTTCTTGTATCTCTTCCCATGGTCCATCTAGGCATCTTCACACCAGACTCCTAGCTGTCAGGACAGTCTCACCTCATCCCAGCACAGCATCAGGGAGCATTACTGCTTTTTCTGCCCTAAAGCAGTAAGTCCTCGGGTGTCAAACGCTACTGAACAATAGCAGTCACGGCTACAAAGGGTAATCTGCCTAGTGGAGTTGTTGCTCCCTACTTTCCCTGGAACCACCCTCACACCTGATGTACTGACACTTAACAAATATCTGTCAGAAACTCTTACAACTTTGGTCACCACATTGTTTTTTAAACTGAGCACTGCAGAACAGAATAACAGAAAACCAGAGCCTGAAATGAAATAGTTCTGACAAGGGACTGCTTCAGGAGACACCTCCACAGCTGCCTGGAAAGGTAAACATTCATTTAAGAGAAGTGCTAAATAAACACTTGGATGCAAAATCTGTTGGCCAAAGCAAGGGGCAGTATCTGTGTCAGATTCCACTGCTAAATACCAAAAGAGCTGTAAAACAAATACAGACAACACAACAATCTACAAACTGACATAACACTACCAGCAAAGGGTACCTGCAGTTGCACTCATCTTCTTGGAGGTCTCAGGCACCCCGTGGAGAGTCACCAGGTTTCTTCTCTGCACGTGCTGCTGTCACTGGAGGAGAGAAAGGATCACTGGAAGTAGCCCAAGGACTCCGCTGAGCGCTGCTTTCTCTCCCATTAGGTTAGCCCTGTGCTCAGGGGAGGATGGCTCCTCTGCCTCGGTGCCTGCATCTAAAGCCTTTGCTCAGTGGGAGGCACCTTGAAGCTGTCCGTGCATTTCTGATTTTAAAGAGGCAGCACGATCTGGAGACAATAGACCACAGCCCTTTTGGGGTTCCTCTGCCTTAAACCCCCTGAAAGCATGGAACTGGCAGAGTGTCTTTGTTAGCAAGCCTGAGCATGGGACATATAACCTCTGGTCTGCCCTTGCTCTCCGGGTTTTGCCTGTGCTGGGCAGCAGCAGCCTGCACCTGATGTCCCAAGAAGCAAAATACAGACCTCCCACTGGAAAGGAGGGGGAGGAAGGAGGGTGATGTGCTTTCCCGGGAACCTTTCTCTGCGTGTCTCTCTCTGGCTATTGTCTTTCGGAGTGCAGCTGCAGTAGCTCCAGCAGGAGGGACACACAGTGAATAGTCGTAAATCAGAGGACCCCTGACAGGTTTCCTTGCCCTCTCAGGGAATTACTCAGAGCAGAAAAGCGGCAGTGAATCCTTAAAGACTTGGTGTCCTTTGCTACTGCTGCCTCCTCACTGCTCTAAAGCACTCACACCTGAGGGAGCAGTTCTTTTGCTTTCCAGTTCTCCAGAAGCAAAGGAAATGTGCGGCACATCACCTGTCTTCTTCACCTCCAGACTTACTCACTTAGCTGACATTTTCCAAGGTGCATAGACACCTTGGGGACACATTACACAGTCCCCAGCAGATGAGACCATCAGAGGCTGTCAAAGGTCATGAAGGGCATAGGAGGCTTGCAGAAAACTTAAGACTGTGTGTCCCCAATGCACATTCACAATGGTGGGCTCTTGTGAGTTAGTGGGCACTGAGCTCTGGAAAAAGAAGGTAAGGAAAGAAACCTGTGAATATAAAATATGTCTGGGGTAAAAGAGCCACTCCTGTGGCATTCCTTCCAGAAAACTTGAAGATTGGAAAGTCCCTAATGTCTGCAGATAGCAGAGAGCATTAAGAATTTCACAACATACTTTTCTTGCCTTTGTTTTGAACAGCCAGTTTAACACTTGAAAATACACTAAGGGATTTTTAATGTCCTGAAAGGGTGCAACCAGATGAACAACGAGGAAATCAAATCCAGTCCACCTGTTAAATTCTGTCACAAAAAATGTAAATATAGTAAATATGGAGAGAGAGGCAAAAGAAACTGTGTACATCAGAGCCATGTTAAAATGATCCCTAAAATGGGCCACATAAACCTTAAATGCCCCTGAAGAAAAGCTGATATGCCAAAGCGAGCTTTGCATTCAGAATGTTCGTGATCTCTTTAAGACTTTGTTCAGCTGTCTCACATGAAGTTATCTAGTGAGCTAATCAACCAATATGATATCCAGATATTTATATTCCTTTAGGCCAAAACCTCATCTGCTGCAGAACTGTCTCTCCCCATTGACTCAAAGCAAGCTGGCATCAGAGCCTTGGTAACTCCAGATGTGCACTGCATGTTCAGTGAGAGCTTCTGTACAGCAGTAGTTCATCTCCTGTGCTCCATGTGCTGTATGTGTCAAGCTGTTTCTCAGAGAACACCAGTAGCATTGTGAAACAATGTGATTTACATGTGCTGTGCAAGGCAGTGCTTTGTAGCTGTAGACTGGGAGTCACTGAATAGAGAACAAAAGCAGTGGTGCTGGGAACTGTCCTTGGGCAGAGTGGGAGTTCAGGAGTGGGTCTAGAGCCTCAATGACTGTCCCAGCGCCCTGCCCCACTGCAGCAAGGGCTAATGTGGGAGTCTAAGGGCTCTAAAGCCATGGGGTATATGCAGCAAGTGTATGCGCATGGTTCAGGTGTACGATTTCTGCAGAGGACAAGGTTTCTCCTTAATAACATTAACTGATGATTCCCCAATGGTGTCACGACATCAACACAGCATCACAAGGCATTTCCTGGGACCAGTGTTACCAAAGTGACACATTCAGGCTGAGAAAGAAAAGTTGCTACTGTGCTGTGCTGCTGTCCGAGTTTCCCTAACTCCCTCGGGCAGGGAGGAGGTCGCACCGGCTGAGCTGAAGGCACGGCAGCCGACAGCCGGGGGGGCACTCCCACTGAAAACTATAATGGAAAATATTGTGTTGGTTTTGTACGTGTTTGTGTTTGGTGTTGCATTTGGCCTGGTTTTTGGTAGCAGGGGGGCCACAGAGGTGACTTCTGTGAGAAGCTGCTGGAAGCTTCCACCATGTCTGGCAGACCAGTCCCTGATGACTCTGAAGGTGGACATGCTGCTGGCCAAGGCTGGGCCAAACAGAGATGATGGTAATGGCTCTGTGATAACAGATTTAAGAAGAAAATCAAAGCAATGGAGGACACAGTTTTGGTTTTTTTTTTTCTAGTCAGAGAAGAGGAGGAGCTTCCTCTGAGAATATGTGAAGGAAACAACATGGAGACACCAAGGTCAGTGGGGAAGGAGGGGGAGGAGGTGCTCCAGGTGCCAGAGCCCAAATTCCTCTGCAGGCTGTGGTGAGGCCATGGTGAAACATGGTGAAGGCCATGGTGAGGCAGCTGCACCCCTGCAGCCCACAGGGATCCACAGGGGATGCAGAGATCCACCCACAGCCCATGGAGATCCATGGGGGAAGCAGAGATCTGCCCACTGCCCCTGGGGATCCATGGGGGATGCAGAGGTCCAGCCACAGGCCATGGAGGAGGTGCCCATGCCAGAGCAGGTGGCTGCCTGGAGGAGGCTGTGATCCTTGGGAGAACCAGTGGAAGGAGAGGGCCCTGCTTCCAGGCTGGAGCAGCCTGGCCTTGGAGGATTGCATCCCGTGGGAAGAGACCCACATTGCAGCAGTTTTGGGAGGACGTCTGCTTGTGAGATTGGGCCCATATCGGAGAGGTTTGTGGAGATCTGTCTCCTGCAGGAGGGACCCCAAGGCCTCACCGGGGAAGGGCTCCTCTCCTGGAGCAGCGGAAGAAAATCTTGGGTGACAAGCTGACCACAGTGACAAACTGCCCTTTCTCCCTGCATTGTCAGTGGGAAGGAGTGAGGGGCTGGGGAAAGGAAAGGTGGTTTTTAGGGATTATTTTACTTCTCATTATCTTCCTCTGATTTTGTTTGTAATAAATTCACTTTGTACCTCTAGGCTGATCCTGTTTTGCCCTTGGAGTATTTTCTCCCAGTCCTAACTCAGTTAATGAAGCCTTCATTAAACTTTTCTCTTTCCTCTGCCCAGCTGAGGCAGGGGAGAGTGAATGAGCGATTTTCATTGGTGTCTGGAATTTGGCCAGCATTAAATCATGACAAATATTCACATCCTGTTTATTTGTTTTGATCATTAGTATGCTCACAGGTTGAATAGGGAGGTTATTTGGAGGCTG